TTGTATGATACGGCCCGAAAGGGATGTTTACTTTTAGGGCTAAGGCAATTGAGTTGAATAGAGTCTAAAGATGGTGTAGAAAAGTGGTTGTTGCATTTTTCTAAAAATATAACTCTTGTGCCTTTTTTTTGTAACATCAAGTTTAGTAGTAGGTTGCACTTTGCATTTCATAAACTCTATGAGAGTAGTAAACTTACACTAATCTTGACTTAATTTTGGTACTCTTGTGCTTTTGTTGAGGATGGTGATATCTAATTTAGTTGTTTGTAATTAAGGTGTTAATACTTGTATTATAACTTTGTCTATTAGGAGGTTGTATACCTAAATGAGTTTATTTTATGGTCTTCACTTTAGTTTCAATTGAGTGTTGATCGTGCATATTTAGCCTCTTCAAAGTATGGTTAGAACTATTAGTTATATGTGTTGGAGAGCTTATTGTAGTTTGATTAAATTTGAATGGTCATTTAATTCATGTCTATCCATGATTCTTTATGTTGTACTTAGAGTGTTACCTTCTTCTTGGACAAATATATAACTCGATAACATAAGGTTACTGTTTGGCTCTTGTGAAGTGAGCTGAAAAATGATTATTACTTGTTTTATAACTAGTGGTTATTGTAGACTTCGTTGAGGACTAATGACACTTTCTTCACTCGATAATGATTTAGCATTGGTAGCTTCTTTTAGCAAATGGTGTTGCAAAAGATTCTGTTATTAAACTTTTATGGTTTTTTCATGTTAGTATGTTGATTTTACCTCTATCTGTATCATTTGGTTGGATTTAGTTTATAGTATTGGACTTCATTGAGTCTTAGATGTGGTGAATCACTCCTTGATGATGTATTATTTAATGCTAAGTACTATTGCAGGGTTAATCTCAGATATAAAGTATAGTATTTTTTATCTTAGTTAATTTGGTTGCTAAAAAGAGTTTTGAGTGGTGATTCATTTTTGCTTTATTCTAGCTTTATTTTAATGTTCATGGCATTAAAGTGATGCCATATCATTGACATTATTGATGTTAAGATTCAAGTGAAATGAGATGTCTCTATATAAGATTGATGTTGAGTTTGATTGTATCAATATAGATAGTGTTGATGATTTTGTTGTAACTTCATATTTTTGGCATTTATGTATTTGTTAGTTAGTAATTATGTTAGTATTTAAATAATTAAGTGGCAAATTAAGTTAATTTTGTTCTATATGGGGTTTATCTTTAGTTTTTCCTTGAAAAGTGATTTTGTCATAAACTATATTACCCTTGTAAAAGGAAGAGTTAGTGATTAATATTAGAGTGATTGATTCTTTATTGGATTGATTTTAGATTATATCATCATTAATGATTTTTTTTGTATTTATTATGAAGTGGGTTACATTTTGTTATAGAAAATGGATTCATGAGGACCGTTTAATGATTATTTATTGAGTATATCTTCATTATACTTAGCTTTTGGATTGATGCAAACATGCTTTTCATTAGCTTTAGCATTATAAAGTTGAACTTCTAAATATGTTGAAAAGGATATTGCGGGTTGTACCAATGATTACTTCTTTAGCATTGATATTAGTTCATTTGAGACTCATCATCACTATTATATGAGATTTATCTATAGGCTTCTTCAAGCTTTTACATCATTAAATTCTCATGCTCATTATTCCAATTGTTAATAGTTGTGAAAAAAGATATTTATGCTCTTTAGTTTCAATATTTATGCTAGTGTTTGCATTGGTGATCATTAGTGATGATTGATTATCATTTAGGATAGTTAATTATCTTCTTCCTTGTAACACACTTTATCTCTTAATTTATCCCTATTTATCCCTCAAGGTTTCAAAAATTCACAGTGACAGTATATCCAAATCTCATCCCATGATCACATGTGCTACACTCACCCCCCTTCAGAGATGTTAATGTCATCCACCCGTACTGCAGTCCCACGGTGAATACCTTCATACCTAGGAATATACTGAAGGGATGTTAATGTCATCCACCCGTACTACAGTCCCACGGTGAATACCTTCATACCTAGGAATATACCTTGTTTAGGGGTATATTATATTTTTAAGTAGCCACTAATCAATGGGAATTGAACCCGTGCTATTGGCTCTGATACCAACTATAGTGCACCTTATCTCTCTCCCCTTAAGCCAACTAAAAAAAGGGCAATTGCTTGATGAGAAAGCCCTTATTAATTATTTTATCCCCATTTATCCCCTAAGGTTCTAAAGATCCACGGTAACAGTATATCCAAATCTCATTCTATGATCACATGCGCTATAGTCCTCAATCGAGTGGTGTTTCAGTATTTCTGTTCGGAATAAATTATTTCAGATAATAGTTCCACATTTATGGGTGAGGCATTTCATGTTTTGATGCCTCAATTGGGGATTTGCCACACTTTCATAAGTGTTTATCATCCATATACAGATAGTGTGGTGGAATAGCTCATTTGAACCTTTATAAAGATGATTGTGAAGTATGTAAACTTTCAATATTCAGATTGGAATGGTTATTGCTGTCTTTTCGATATACATATGTCATAAAAATGTAAAGTTCTATTAGTGCTTGACCATAATATAGTTATAATTTGATATTACCAATAAAGTTGAGTTTACCTTCACGATTGCCACAAGTTGCCAATGATAGGTTTTGGGATTAATATTTGATGAACATTCTTCCATTTATTTGAGTAGAGTCTACTGAACACTTAGGCTACATATAAGTGGGATAACAATGGCACTACAACTCCTATCATCATTTATATGCAAAATATAAAATGGATGACTTCATGTTAATTTGTTTTCCCAATCTTATGGTACATGGTTTGTCTAAGGGGCTCCTTGTTAAGTGGAAGGGACTGTACTAGGTGTTGCGGCAAATTAGACCACAAGATTATAAGGTTTAATATGATATCTAATAGGCAAATCCTCCAAAATTATACATGTGTTGAAATGCTTTGTACAAAGAGATTAGGAACAATTGACATTATCAACAAATCCACCAATACCTCCTTTTTATGTTCCTCTAAATCCTAGTTCATCCACGAGAGAACTCTAATTGTCTTCCATCACTCCAAGAGGAAGAAATAATGTGAAGTCCAAGTGTATAGCTACAATATTATATATTAATATTACAATAGTGGGATTTTGGTAGTTGTTGGATTAATTTCAATTTAGACCACTTGCTTCTGTCTTGTTGTTAGCAAACTTAAGGATGCTTAATCTAACTATCTTAAAATTTAACTAATTAGAAAAAAGGGGTGCACTCTAATTCATGGCACTTTTCCTTTATATTAAAACCCTTATAAATCATCTTTTGAATCATTATTTTTAATTGTTTATATATAATTCAAAATGTTTGAATAGCTAATTAATTTTACCAAGATTTTAACTTTTCTTTAAATATAAACAAAACGACTTGCTTTTTTTGCAATGGGGAAGAAAGGAAGAAGCATCTCAAATTCAAGTAAAATTTTATTTTTTTATAATGTGAAGCTAAACTTTTATTTTTAATAGATCCCACAAATATTGAGAGTAAATTTATGAAATTTAAAGAGCTTCTAAAAAAACAAAAGCTTCAAAACATGATTTTTTGAAGTAATGAAAGAGGCGTTTCATGGATCATATTTTAGTGTGGATGCTAATATGGTTTTACATTTGTTCTAATAATGATAGTAAAAACAATATTATAAACAACACATATAAGGATTAAGCTATAGTCACCTATAAGAATTGAGCCTAGAAGGATAGAGTTGCAATAAATTTCTATAAAAAATAATAAATGGATATGTTTTAAATAGTTATTCATGGTTTTTGTGTAGGAAAAAAAGGGCAAATAAAAACTAAAGATCCATTCATGAAATAAATGGTCATCCTTCTCCTATGATCAAAATTTTCAGAATTTCATTTATTAAAATCAATTAATGTTTTGGGATAAAAATTAAAACTTTTTATTCTGAGAAAAATATAAACATCACAAAACTAATCAAATTGTTTTAAGTATTTTGGGGTAATTTCAGCTTCTTTTTTTTTATCACTTATATGTACCACTGTAATGTGTAATTGCTTTATAAAGTAATTTTTTTTGCAAAAAACTACAATAGATTTAAAATAGTAAATCTATATTTAGATAAATTTTTAGTACTAAATTTAGTTATTATTATCAGTAATAACATATTTGAAAAATAAGATATAATTAATATTAATAACTTCCTATTTTTTTGTTAGAAAATAAGATATAAAATTTAGTAAAAAATTAAGTTAGCAGTAGCAGTAAGGATATAGATAATAATTTCAGTAAAAATTTACTTGGATGTATTATTTACAAAATATATTCATAAATATGTAAATCAACTTTTAGCTATAATTTTTAGTTAGAATAAGCTTTTGAAAGTAACCCGATAAATGAGTTAAAATTTCAACATCAAATTTTATTATGGTTAAGTGTTTGCTTTGGCTAGCTTTCATTGCTAACAATATCTTTTTGCCATAAATGGCCATGGGTGTATCACTGGTGCTGACAGAACATATCTCAAGCAGGTATAGAATGATTTTGGTCAACACTCTTATGTTCTTGTTCTTCTTCTCATGTCTGGGCAGTGGTTAAAGCTTTATTGGAATTTGTTACTACAATGCAAATGATTGGAGATTTTTAAATCTTACATAGAAAAATTTAACAATGAGGAATATCTTAGAATATACTTGGATATTCCAGGTATATTCTTTACACTTGTTTTCGTTTCACACAATATTATTTTTATCTAATGTAAATTATATCTAGGTTTTCTAAAGAAAATAAAAATTAGTAAGATTAAAATAAATGTGCACCTTTGCACTGAGGTACAGGTTCACTCAATCTTTTTTCTTGTTTGCTCTTTTTTTTTCGTTTGCTATTAATGGAGGACTGGCTTTGTGCACAAGAGGTGTACAGCATGGTCTCCAGCTTTGGATCAATCTCTCCTGCAAGTTGAAGTTTGTGTTTTCTTTGTTCCATCAGAGTATCAGGATCGAGCCAAAGTGAATCCGGTGAGCTGGCCTTTGCTTCCAAAAGCTGGCCAGCCTTCCAGAGTATAAGTGAAGGTGTTCCGATTTCCAGTTGCATGGTCACGTCGAGGTACATGGTTGGTGGTGCTTGGAGACGGTGTCATGGTGTGAAACCTGTAGCCATCGCCAGGCAGCCTCTCAACGAGCCGTGTTCCAACACGGTCCGTTGTCATGAACACGACTACATTATTGCATTTTGAATGGGTGTTAAAGTTATAAACAAACAATACAAAATAATTTGTCACACTATTTAAGCTAACAAATTACAATGCAATATCATATTGTGTGAAAGGCAAGAACTACTTTGGGACTCTCCTTAATGCTCTACGTATGCGATCTCCAGTCCACAGCTTAATCTCTGACGCTGAGAAATAGCGTGTGAAGAGATGGTCTTGTAGCAACACTTCTCTGTCCTGGTGATGCAGCCCAATGACAATCTCTATTGACTTGGGTCTTGGCGAGGGCAGCATTGCAACAAATGGCATGTGTGGTGGAACTTTGCTGGGCAGAAAGCAAAGTTGGGAAAGTGCTCCTCCTCGCCACCCAAAATCGAGACCATACATGTGGAAATTGGTCATGGTCGTGGACATGATTCCCCGCCTCCAGTGAAGTTCCTTGTGAAGATGAGCAGAATTCAGCTCCAGCCAGTCCAGCATGCTCTGCACCGACGCTCTATTGCAGGAGATCTTTGCTTTGTGTATGAGATGCGCAGCATACGATAAGTCCGAAGCAACTATGTCGCCAGCTCGAGACGCATGAACCTGACAATTGGCAACGGCATTGCCGAAATAATTTTGGGGGACGACTGCTAGCTTCTGGCCCCGCAGGTTGATAGAGAACAAGATAGCCGTGTCAAGGTGTTGAGGGACTCCCTGTGCACGTAGTATGGACGACCACAGCAGGGACAACACGGCCTCAAAGCCCGTAGCTTTTCCACCGTTGTATGCAAAGGCGCCGGTTTGAGCTTCTCGCTTGCAAGCGTCTATAGCAGCTTGCTCCATTCGAAGTGTCACCAGATTGCAAGGCGTGATGTTGCTTGGATCAATTTGCTTGTCGCGTGCAGCAGCGTCAATGATGAAAGGCACCGGTGCGTCCACCTTTGGAGGATCCCGAGCCAAGAGCGCCCGTTCTCTTCCAAAGCTCTCACAAAATAAAGTGCTGCCACGGTGAACTTTAGCCCATGCGTTGAGGAAGTTGTAGAGGCTGGAGCCGTCCAAAACGATGTGCAAAAAATGGACTGCTATGGCAATGCTCCCACAGTGAAATTGCGTCAAGTGGAACTTGATAAGAGGAACATCGCTGGGGTTGACAACTCCGGTGTCGAGTGATAAATCTATGTCTAGTGGACACTGGCGTATGTCTTGCCAATCTTGGAAGCTCGAGTCCACCTTTGACTCCACAAAGTGGACACCTTGACCGTTCATGTTTACCTCGATCCTTCCACTCTCGTTTACCCTGAGCCTTCCAGCGAGAACAGGATAAAATACTAGCACCTTGGAAAGTGAAGACCTGAGGCTGTCTACAAGACTCTTAGCTCCTGTGGAAGGCGAGAAGCAATCCTTGAAGAAGAGCACAAGTGTGGAGAATTCTGGCTTGCTGTAGCAAAGATCAATGCTTGAGAGAAAATGAGGTGAAGGTGGTGGAACTTTCTTAGGCCGAACGACATGGAAGGCATATTGAACAACTTTACTGCTGCTTGGTTGATTGCAATCTTGAAGAGATTCAGAATTCACCTTAGTAATCGCATCCATTTCTGGTGCAGCAGTGTGTAAAGCATGATTTTTTATAGTAACTGCAGGTCAAACTTCCCCAACGTGAAACAGATGCAACAGCTAGCTGGTGGATTCTGGTTTAAGCATCACTTGTTTAAGAAGAAGTGGAATCTATATAATATAAATTATTGCTTTTCCATAACACGTTAGGGCTATATAAACGTCAGCTTTTTGTTTTGATTTCGCGTGTCATTTCTTCTGGATATGGCCATAAACTAATTGGCAGTCAGCAAAAAAGATGATGTCATATATGGAGTAGGCCTCTGCTCTCGTGGCCTCGTTTCACATCTGGCGTAAAAATTATTGGTGCAGCATCAAAGACTTGGCAAACGGTCAACTGGCAGCGCCAGACTTGGTCACCTTCCAAACACTGTAATGCATGGGAACGTTCGCCGCCCGTGGGGTTCGAACCCAAGGTTAAAAGCCTGGCCGGCTTGGGATTCTTAAGCAAGCTTATTCAATAGCACCGTTTTCGCGCCAAAGAGAATCGAGGAAACCTGCCGCGACTTTGCAACGACGGAGGAATATAGTTTGGTAATAATCTTAACCATTAATTAGCTAACCTTAGAATATGCTACGCTTTTCCTGGTTAACTCGTCACCAAAATGCTGGAGAAGCTCGGGGATCCGGTAGATTTCCCTGTGTCATGCACTGAATTCTTCTAATCCCCTTTTGGCGCAGGCAGAGCTCCGGGCTAATGTGCTTGAGACGCCAATGCCTTTTCTCTCAGCGATCAGCAGCTGCAATGATCGAGCAATATCAAGGAAGCGTTTGTGATATGCGCATGCTCTTATTTACCGGAATCCAACGTTGTGTACCACTTTCATTCTGAAATTTATTATTGTTTTCACAGGAAATATCGAAATGTTTTTGTTTACAGTTGAGGTCAGTTAGAGTATGGTTCAGATCTCAGTTTCAAGCTATAACGTGACTGCACGTGAAATTTGTTTAGGAGACATGTTTGATGAGTAAGAAACATTGCATTCCAAGACATTTCCAGGACACTTCGTTTTCACGAGCCATTTCTTGGAAAGTTTTTACACAAGCATTGGAAGCGTGAGTGTGAGGAATTTGCAGCGATAGAGTCATTTAATATCAGTCTCCAGGCACCAAGTCCGTATTTTCTCTGTTTTCATTGTCAATTCTCCATTTAAACCCAATGGTTCATGCTGTGTAATCATCAGGATCTCAGTTCCGGATGGAGTCCAACAAGATCAAGCCCAAGAAAAAACAAGAAGCAATTTGTGCCATACTTTGCAGCTGTAATATTTTTTTAATGTTATTCCCAGGCAAGATCGATCTAACAAGAGGGTTCTTTTGACCATCCATCTTATAAGGCTTAGAATTTTGGAGAAGCAGAGCCCTCGACTTACAAAGTGCAATGAGGCCAAACCTAATAATCACCCGGTCAAAGACCTAACTACGTCGTTATGTTAATGTGGCTGTAGCTTATTGGTTAGAATTCCAAGTTGTAGCCATGGAGACGTGGGCTCGAATCCCAGCAGCCACATTCTTTTTCGCTCCATGTTAACGCATTAATACAGGGCAGAATATACTAGGGTTTGGGTAAACAATGGACGATGCCGCGCGGGAGCTCATGGAGCTCAAGGCGCTCATCACCAAAACGCTGGAGAAGCGCGGCGTCCTGGCCAGGATCCGGGTGAGTGCCTGTCGATTTCCCCGTGCCAGATCTGGGCCTGCATTGTGTGAATTCTTCTCATTCTCTTTGGCGCACAGGCAGAGCTCCGGGCCAATGTGTTTGCTGCCATCGAGGAGCAAGAGCGCGCCGATGGAGACGCCAATGCCTTTTCTCTCATCGGCGGCTGCAATGATCGAGCAAAGGACCTACACTCGTCTCAAGCCGGCAAGTGGAGAAGAAATTCTTTTGTTGTCCAAACTAATCCCCGGGTCCTTTCGATCAGGAAAGCTCTTGAGTGGCTTGATATGCGAGTATCTGGAGTGGTGCTCTCTCGATCGGACACTCAAAATCTACTTGCCGGAATCCAACATCGTGAGTGGTTTTAATACCTCTTTCGTTGCTGTCTCACTGTCCCGATTTGTCCAGCCCAGAGGATTTTCCAGAGCTGAGCTCCAAGACAAGCTTGGATTGAATGGAACCGACGAGTCGTCTCCTCTTCTACTAAAGATTCTAGACGAGTACCTAAAGCTCGAGGTAGATCACTGGCAAGTATCATGTCTTGCTAGTATTGTCTCTTGCTCTCGATCAAGCTTTCTGGTTTCTTACTGGAAATCTTCACGCAGAAACGAGGAGGAAGAGGCCAAGCGCTAAAGCAGCCATCGTCTAGCACTGGAGAATGTATAGAACAATTAAGGGGACTCAACATCGGCTCTTAGAAAGGTACGTAGCTCGATCAAAAACGAATTTTGCTTGACAACTTTCGCTTTTCTTGCAGCCTCTTACCTTTCTATGCTTGTACAATAAAGTGAGACACAGCCACACACAGCAGCAGCGTACTTATACTTTTCATTCGCTAGCTTGAATGTTTGTTTGTGATTCAATGGAAGGAAATTACAGCTCTCCATGGCAGTGGGAGGAACGAGACAACGCTGTGCTTGCCTGCCGCTACACAGAGATTAGATCGGAAAGAGAGAAATGGTTACCAGCGTCACAAAATTGGGCTGAGTTGCCCATTACTGGTGGCATTATCGGTGTTCTTCTTTCGTCTATAGAATAAAACGTACGCTGCGGGACTCTTGAGATGATCTTCGCTTGCTGGGGTGACGTGACTGTCATCGAAATTGTACCACTGGCCGTCAAGGTCCAGCTGAAAAGAACAAAAGGAAACAAGAAACTTTAGATGCGAAACCTCTATAGATCGTTCTTACGTTCACAAATGCTGTGTAATGGCCACCTCCTGTTCCACCGTAATGGTTGCTCACTGCGTAGAGCTCGTACTCGTGCTGCTGTGGAACGCTGCGGTGTGCCAGGTACTTGGTCAGATCCAAGTCGTGAATCGGGAAGTTGACGAACGTTTCCAGCTTGTTCTGGTAGCGGACGTAGGAGAATCTCTTGAGGTGGACGACCAAGATCTCGGGTAGTCGCCACAGATCTAGTTTCTTGCTCGCTTGTTGCCTTTGCTTGCAGCGCGGGCAGTACCTTGGGATGGGAAGAACGCGGCATTAAAGACGATCCAGAGGAAAAGAAAAGTTCTACATACCACATGTCGTGCGGCCCCAGTGGTTCCTCCTTTAGAAACGCTTCCAGGCAAGTGTAGAGAGACACTGCCTCCTGCCTCAACTTCTTGGAAGTCGCAGCCTTGCAAACGTCTGGGAGCCTGTCCAGGAAGCTCAAGTCGTAGAACTCTGAGACCCTGTCGGACCACTCCACGAACACGTACGTGTACTTTGTGTTGATCCGCGCTGGATAGAGGTCCGAGGGGATCGGTTTGTCAAACTCGATCAGGTGCGACTTTGTGGCTCTTTCGTCCGTTGTCCACAAGCTGAACGGGCAGTCCGACGACGCCCGGTCTAGCATATCGGAATCAAACATCTCCGAGTCCGTTTTCATCTGAGAGAGTAGCTTCTCGAAGGCACGCTTGATGTCTTCGCCCGTCCTGAAGCCCTCCGGTGGTATGGGAATGATGAAAGGAACTCTGAAACGATCCTTTCTGCCACTTAAACAGGTTAGCATTTCCACGGAACATATTAACACAGACTTACTCTTCCAGTTGTTCCTGGATGAAGGCCACGAACTGCGCACTCTCTGACAATTTTGGAAGCCTATAAGCCACCAGCTGGTCGGTATCTGGTATGGTCGACAGACCCAAGGTGTCCTCTAGTAAATGCTGGCTTTTGAGCTGCAATGAAAGGTTGAGCTATGGATCCAGAAAACAACCATACCAGCGCCAACCTGGAAAAGCTGCAGCATTTCGTCGGTGCTCAAGCCGCAACTGTTGCCTACGGCTTTTGCTAGCTCCCTACATTTGCCCTGTCGTGGAACCACAACTGCGTGTGCCTTTGGCGGTGAGCTGCCGTCGGAACTTATCACCGTAACTGTCATAGTACGAGTGTTCGTAGGGAGAGGCAAAGACAAATACATGAAAGGGTCGAATGTCACTGACACTTTGCTGCAAACTGGACAGACTAAAGTTGATTTGTACTGGCCCTGTGACAACATCAGCGTTAGCAACTATCTTCTGCTCGCCAATCATAAACATAATACCTGAAACACATCAACAATTACTGAATCGTTCCGAGCCCTGTGAGCTTCCCAATATTCGTCAGCGACCTCTTCATCTGGCCGACCATCCTCATCTTTCACTTCGATGTAAGGCTTTGTTTTTAAGCGGTTTAGATCTTCGTGCAGTCCATCCAGTAAATATGCCAGCAACTCCTGCAAAACAAGTTTGAGAAAAAAACTAAGAAAACAAAAACTTAACGCCAAGAGATTTATAATTACCTGTGAATCGTGCTGATTAAACCCACTGAATTGCGGAGCGAAACGAGAGAGCTTCATCTTGAATGAACGTGGAGAATACGGGGATGATTTTGGTGACCATACTTTGCGTAGAAGCTCTCCAAATGCGACTGCCAGTTCTCCCTAGCATCAAAATGCAAAATTCAGTACAAGATTTAAAGAAAACATTGAACCCACTCACTTTTGTTCCCATCATGTTGTCCCTGTTAATTTCCTTACTGTAATCTTGGAGGAAAAAAGTGGTAAGCTGAGGCGTGTGCACTAAACATTGAAGAGCACTGTTCATGAAGCATGTGTTTCCAAGGTTCTGGAGCCCCACCAGTCCTTGCGGTCCGCCTCCCCAATAGGCAATCGAGCCAGAGTGCTTTGTGATGGTGCTGCTAGCTCTGCTTCCGCCAAATGAAAAGTTAGAGCCCCTTCCACCGTTGAGAAAAATTTCGTCTGGCCATTTACCATTCACTCGAACTTCAGATAGGATCTGCGTTCATCAAACGTGAGAAAAAGATAAGATTATAATCATTCAGCTTACTTCTTGCCCCATTTGCAAGGCTGCGTCTTGTAAAGTCTGACTGACATCAAGAAGCTCTTTTTGCCTCGTCCGCCAGCAGTATTTCCAAAGTCTTATCTGCATACGATTTAAGAATTAGAACCATAACATGGTAGACAAAGACGGACATACTTCACTGGTTTCCAATAATTCACAAACCCTTCGATAGAGTTCCTTTACAGTTTCCTGCCAAATTTCCCTCCCATTAAACATGCAACAACAAATGAAAATTCCTACCTTCGAACTTATATTCACAATAGTATGATCACCACTTGGTTGGACGATAATCTTGAGCTGCAACGGGTAAACTTCGACGCAGAGTTCCGTCGAGCCTACACTGATCACCTTCCTGGATAAAACTGGACCTCCTCCATACCTGCAAGAGCTTGTTAAACTTTGGCACAAAGCTGTACGATAAGAAAATACGTACCACTTGTGTAGCGATTCCCAGACCCTCTCAGGCAAAAGAACGTAATCACGCTCTTCCACCAATGTGTTCCGGAGCGAGTCAGTGGATTCCTCTAGCAAATCAGAGTTATCTATACTAGGGGGGCGCTTCGAGCCATTTGGTTCGAAGTAAAACGCCTCCAGAGAGTCTGCACAGTCCTCTTGAATGTACTCTACCCATTTCTTCCACCATCTAGACAGAACGAGACCAAAGCTAGAATTTTTGAGCAAAGAGAGCGAGCACTTACTTGGCAGAAACAAGGAAATACGTATCGCCTTCTTTCGTTTGCACTTCCTCCGTCAAAATTTTGATTGCTCCTTTCTCCTGAGCAGCATTCTCCACGCATGCCTGGGGCGCGAGCATGCTTGATTCGCCTGGATGCCTGCATTTTCGGCCCGGGCGCCACTGTGAAGTGCAGCATTGATCGGGATTGCGAGAACCTTACCGAATCTAGGCCGCTGTCATCCGCGCCGAGGAGGAATTCGAAAAATTCCGAGCCGCTGGGGTGGGAGGGGGAGAGGAGGCGCTCCAGCGACTCGATCCGGGGCGAGCAATCGTCGGGCCGTCGACACTGGCGCGCGGATAAACCCTAGAAGTAGCAAAATGCATCTAGCATAAACCCTAGGTGGGAGAGAAATTGAAATCCTCGTCGAGGGAGGGACAATGTGGCCGCGATTATTAGGTCACCAATTTGGCTAGATCTCTATCCAGGAGGCCACCAGGAAAGAAGATCCTGGAGGAATTATTCTCGATCATAGCAGTCACAAATATTTCCCTAGGACAAGATCTCTGGAAAATGTATATAAGTTTGCTAGCTAAGCTTGGCTTCATTCCCATTGACTGGTCAACGACTCTAGACTTCCACTCGAGTTTTGGCGATGGTCATGGTCGGTCAACATCGATTTTTCTTGCTAAAACATCAAGGCCGATAGCGCTCTAGTTCTTGGGCAAACTCTCTTGGGCGAGAGAATCACCGACAAAATTCCAGTTTCGAAGGTACGAGATATCACTCCAACGCTCCCCTGGATTGGATTGGCGGGGCGCCAGTAGAAATGTAGCTCGGGAAGGCCGCCGCGCGGCATCCTCGATCGATTCCTCCACAAAAATGGGGGCAAACTCTTCCAATCCATGCTGCTGCCGCGGAAGATCCGCGCTCGAGGTCACGGTGCTAGCGCTGTGCGTGGGCCTGGCTCTTCTCCCCTTCGCCGCCATTGGATTCTTCTCGCGCCCGGCGCTGATCTGGAAAATGGAGCTCGTCTTTGGCAGCGAGAGGATCTGGAGTAGCAGCGGTAGCAGCGGGTGGTATGGCAGGAACACGCCACAGCGCTCACGGAACTTGGCGGCCCCGGCCTTCGCAGATCTTGCCAGGAGCAGTAACTTCGTAAGTCATTGTCTCCCATCAAGTTCTAGATTATCTCTTCGTCTCACTCTCTCTCTCTCTCTCTCATGGTGATTTCTTCGTTTTCTCTAGAGTGTCAGGGAGCTCTTGCATCTGGATGCGCTCTTGAGCAAGGCCGCGTTTCGCAACAACACGGTGATCATCACCACCTCCAACCAGGCCTGGGCCGCCAAGGGAAACATGTTGGATATGTTCTTGGACAGCTTCCGCAAGGGCGAGGGGATCTCGTCGTTCCTGGATCATCTCCTCATTGTCTCGCTCGACAAGATCGCCCACGACCGCTGCGTCCGGATCCACAAGTTCTGCTTCGTGCTCAAGACCGACGGCATCGACTTCTCGGGCGAGAAGTTCTTCATGAGCGACGACTACCTGAAGATGATGTGGAGGAGAGTCCATTTCTTGGGCGTGGTTCTCCAGCTCGGCTACGACTTTGTCTTCTCGGTAAGCACCAAAGTTGCGATCTTTTTCTGGAGTTTTTGTCAAGCTCTCGATGATATTGTCTGGGAGTTCTTGTCATGCTCTCGATCTTTGTCTCGGAGTTTTTGTTCTTTCTAACACCAGTGGCGATTCCAGGACGCCGACATCTTGTGGTTTCGAGATCCTTTCAAGCACTTCCATCCGGGAGCCGACTTTGAGATAGCTTGCGATCAGTTCTACGGCAGTGCAGTGGATCTCCGGAACAAACCAAACGGCGGCTACGTCCATGTCCGATCGAACAACCGCACGGTGGCGTTCTACAAGTTTTGGCACGCTGCGCGGGTGTTGTTCCCGGGGAAGCACGATCAGGACGTGCTCAACGCCGTCAAGTATACGGAGGGGTTTTGGAGTTTGGGATTGAAGATGCGGTTCCTGACCACGCAGTTCTTCGGGGGGTTCTGCCAAGTGAGCAGGGACCTGGAGGAGGTGTGCACCATGCACGCGAATTGCTGCACGGGGCTCCAGCGCAAGATCAATGATCTCAAGCTGGTGGTGGAGGACTGGGACGAGTTTGCGTCCATGACTGCGCAAGAGAAGCAGTCCAAAAGGATCTACTGGAGAGCCCCGCGGGAGTGCTTGCATTCGTTTGGATCATAGTAGCAATCGGGAAGAAAAAAACAACAAAACAATACATTTTTAAAAAGTTGGTGAAAAAAGGTAAAGTTTTTTAGGGTTCTTCCGAAAAAGACGGAAGGCCAGATACAAAAATCCAAAAGTAGAATATTCGTAAAGGGTTAACTGGCAAAATTTGCAAGTTGCCCTAAACAAATTTTGGGTTTAAAATTTTTTAGGGCTTTGATGGGAGGACTAGCCAACACTAGCAGCGGCAATGGCCGCGGTTTCGACTATTTTGCTGCCGATTAGCCCAGTTCTTTCCTCCAAGAAGCTGCCCCTGCATTCTTCTTCGAAGATCCTCCGCGAATTTTCAGTTGGATTGGCAGTAGCGTCCTCTCAGTCGATTCTCAATTGCAGGAAGGCTATGGCGGCAATGGCCGCAGGAGAGAACGCGGCAGTAATGGCTTCCAACCGGCCATTTGGAGTGCTCTTCGTGTGCTTGGGTACGATTTTCTCCTAGATTGAGCTGAAGCTTTTCTCGTTTTCCAGGGAATATATGCCGCAGTCCATCCGCCGAGGCTGTGTTTAGATACATTGTTGAGAAAAGGGGATTGAGCTCTCGATTTAATATCGACTCGGCTGGAACTATTGACTATCACGAGGCAAGCTTTTCACGATCGCTCTGGTTGATTGTTTTTCTTTTGCTTGACGAGATTGTTTCTTCTTGTTGCAGGGCGATCCAGCAGATGCAAGGATGAAGGCAGCAGCTATCAAACGTGGAGTTTTGCTCACATCGATTTCCAGGCCGATCAAACCATCCGATTTCGATGAGTTTGATCTCATCCTCGCGATGGACAAGAAGAACAAAGGTAGAGAATGCAATTTTTCAGTTCTTCGTTCTTAGAAATCTCTCGTTACAGCCGATATCTTGAAGGCTTATACAATATGGAACAAAAACCAACCTTACGATGTGGACTCTAGAGACAAGGTGAGCACGAAAACTTTCATTCGATCATCAACACCAAGGACGCTGGATCTTCGTCTTCTAAAAACTAAAACTCTTGCAGGTCAAACTCATGTGTTCTTACTGTCAAAAGAACGAAGCCACCGAGGTTCCCGATCCGTATTACGGTGGTCCTGCTGGTTTCGAAAAGGTTCTCGTTTGATTCATCGTTCCACTCACTGTTACTACCCTCTGTTTTCTTTTCCTTTTGCGTTGTCGTGATCGACAGGTGCTAGACCTCTTGGAGGATGCCTGCGAAGGCTTGCTAGATTCCATCATGGCGGCGAGCTAGTCGAATAATCTTTCAGAGACGCGAATATTCGGTGACGTCCTGTTCATATTACAGCCGTCGTGAAGTAAAAGGCATCTCCCCCATCGTTGTCTGATAAGTTTCCACGATTCTTCTTTGGACTTTACACTTTCTCGCTCGGTGCTGTTCCAGGTAGGGTGTTTAGAGGAAGGCGAAGAGCGCGTAGTAAATAACGGCTTCTCGATTCCTTCAAATCAGGAAAAAGGAAAGGAAGTTTTACTTGGAACTCTCGAATGGCTGCGACACTGGCTACTGCTGGATCACACAGTCTACTCAAGGCGAAGCTTGGAAGTTCTCCCTCTCCAGAGCTTCTCGGGGTCTTCAAGAGGTTTGATGCTACTGCTGCTGCTAGGCTGGGATCTCGCGGGGCCGCCGTTGCGAGCTCCTCTTCCTCCGAGTCTGTCCAGAGCGTGACGAAGAAGAAGAAGAAGAAGCTTCCCGATGCTGCTTGGCCGGTTCTCTTTTACAGAGACTGGGTGGAGAAGTACGGGAGCTCCAAGTTCCACGGGGAAGAAGAGGACGAGGACGAGGTAGTGAGAGTTGGAAGCTCCAGCGATGGCGATTCCTCTTCTCGGCAAAATCTCAATGGGAGTTCTAGCGGCGACGAGCAGTCAAAGACGACCGGTGGAAAGATCTGAGGGGTGAGTAACAAGAAAAAGAATAAGTTTTCTACTTCAACACTTTTAATAGCTTCCAAGAATCGTGCAACTCGTTTCAAATAAAAGTTGAAAGAGGGTCCCAAAGAACACGAGCTTCTTGTAAATTAACAAAAATCTATGACTATTTGTAACCGTTGACTAGATGTTGACTCTCTTTGGGCAATTTAGGGTTAGAAGTAGCGCGAGATATGACGAGGGGGAAGCAGAAGATCGAGGCGCAGAAGCGCAATGCGGAGCGCAATCAGAAGCCCAAGGGATCACAGATCGAGGCGCGCGCCGCGGCTCTCAAGATAAACTGCCCAATCTGTAAGGTATAGAAGATAGATCTCGCTCGCTCTATCCACATTTCCACTTGTGGCAGTCGCAATTGGCCAATTACAACCAGCTGCGAGACCACTTCGCGTCCAAGCACCCTAAAGAGATTCCCCCGCCCGACACCACCCCAGCATCGTCGTGATTTCGCTCGCGCCCCCATCCAGAGATTGGGACAAAACGCATCACTCGGGTAAGTCCAAGCGCACAGGGAATGGAAAGAAGAAAATCTCTTCATTGGCTTTTGGGTGGGCTCATAAAAATTCGATCGGCTCTCTATCTTTCATCGTCTCCATCCGACCCATTTTTTTTTTCCCACGTAGAACAGGCACGCCATGACAAGAGGATCCGATAAGCTGACAAGTACGGGAAGAGTACGGCCGCGAGAGCAATCAACCCGAGCATTGGAGATTTGGCAGGAGGAGCTGCAACATGGTTGCGCCGATGATGTCCCTTTTGTGCAGCTTTCATATCTATGCTTATTTGGATTAGGAAAAGCAAACTTCTAAGAATGCAAAGCGCGGCAATCAAATTAAAACGTGATGGGTTGCATCGTGAAGGTCGACTGCTTCATCAACCTGATTCATCTTTATTTTTCTCCAACCTCTTTACGATTCTAAAACTTCAACACTTTGCCCGACTTTCCATTAGCTCCAAACTTCCAGTACTCGAAAGAGCCTTCAGCCAAGTTGTAGTAACCACCGTGGAGTTGGAGCTTGGCATTGCTTACTGCTTCCTTGACGAATGAGAAACGCAGAAGATTTACCAGTGAACCGTTCACAGAAGTCTGCCCATGGAAGTGGAAGGCGCTGTTTAGAAGACGTCTCTGTACAAGAACATTAACCAATTACCCTCTCGCATGTCCTGCACTTGTGCTGTAATGACGGATTCTTCCGAGTTGCTTCTAAGGCCGCAGCTCGAGCCGGAATACCGATTTTTACCCAGTTATCAATGAACCTGAGGACATTGCACTTCGCTAAAAACTTAGAAAGCATTCAGAAGTACCTCCATCTCTTTGTGTTCTCTTTCAAAGTCATGAGGGCGTCTATACCTCCGCATCTGCTATGCCCAATCACCAGAATGTTCTCGACCTACAACCGAAACGCTGCTATCGCTCATCTTTTTTCCTAGAAATGCTATACCTTGAGAACTCTTACTGCATACTCGAGAGCTGCACTCGTTCCAGGATAACCAGCCTGCGAGGAGGGTATTTAAGAGGAAGACAGGAAAACTTCAAAGGAATACCTGTTCCGGCGGAGGCACCATGTTGGCAATGTTCCGAACAACAAATGCTTCTCCTGGTCGAAAGTTCAGAATCGTCGTGGGACACACTCTTGAGTCGGAGCATGCAATAACCATGAACTAGTGAAAATATGACGATTAAAAAGTGAGGCCAGGAAATGTACCTTGGGATGTTGTCCAGCTGCTAGATTCTGGTAGAAGCCTGGATTCCTTCTGAAAATTGTTGCTTGAGCGAGAATGAAAGCGCAGAGATTCGAGATCATACATACTGATATACACTTTTGAATGTCTTGAAGCCTTGCTGAATTCTTTCAGCAGGTGTCTTCTTCTTAGTAGACCGCGGTTCCCAGACTTTCTGCACACAATCAAAACCTGAAGCTTGGGAAAGCAACTTACAAATGGGCGCCAACACTTTCTGATGCTGTGCGCAGCTGAAGTGAGCCTCCTCCGCAACAACGATCTTCTCTCAACCTTTACGTCGACCTCATCACCGTCGGTGAAGGGGACGCAGCAGGAGAGAAGAGACCTCCTCCTGAAGACGACCCACACTTGGTCGTCTGAAGCTGACATTGAAACGGTGGAACCCTAAACCCCATTCCTGGAACCGGATAAGACTAGATTTGTTGGCATGTAAATGTAAGGACACCTGTTAGAGTAAAGAAAACAGATTTACCTTAATAAAATATAGAATTTAAAAGAACATTCAGTGAATCTGGACAGGTGGAGACACATCGACCAGGATCACGTGGATTAGAACCCTAAAATTGAAATTTTGTACGTAGAACATTCAGTGAATCTGGACAGGTGGAGATTCAGGGACCAGGATCACGTGGATTAGGGTTTGCGAAGAGGAAGAGATGAAGAAGCGCTGATCGATCGATTAGGCTAGCGTCGCGGCAAAATGGGTCAAAGTGGGCTTGTCGCGTGTCACAGGGAAGATCCATTATGTCTCGGGATTATCTATGGTTTGCAGATGTGGACTTTGAAGTGGCCAATTTGGCTATTTACTCGGTTTCTTCCCGTGTTCTTTATCTATTCCTTTCCATCGCGATCCACTCTATAAAAGCCACCGATCACATTTGTAGCTACCATATAAGTTTTTTGTTTTGTTTTTCTTGAGCGGAATGGATCAGCAAGAGAGGAGGAGAATGGTGAATTCTCCCTTCCCGCGGCAGCCCAAATCGATGGGTTTCGTCCAGGGGAATTTGTTCTTCGATCGCGAGGCTCTTGGGGAGGTGGTGGTGCTTCCGGTGGGCGATGGATTCCTGGTTTGCTGGAACCCGGACAAGGGGGGATTTTTAAGCGTGGAGCATCGCAGCGAGCCAGGTAGAAGCCTTTGGTCCACAGCTCCTGGGTTTTCTTTCGTCACCGCGGCTCTGGGAGTGGAAACGGTGGAGGAGTTTCGGGGATCGTTTGGGATCCAGGACGAGGTCAAGCTAATTTGTAAGCACCAAAGTGTTGACAAGATCCTCTCTTTGGCGGGCTCAAGCGCTCAAAGTCAGCTAGCGGATGATCACGTTTCGTTGTCAAACCAAAAAGATGGAGATGGGACCCCGTTGTCCGTGAGTGGGGGCTCGTCAGTGGTGATCACTGGGACTTTGTTCTCGGCAGAAACAGCGTTAAATTCTCCGCGGCCTTTCTTTCGTAGGAAAGACTGCTCCAACAGTGTTGCTGTCTGCTACACGCTTTGCTTCACAGAGAAGAGGCCTCACCACCTTGGTTTTACGATCAAGCTTGATAAGCCGTTCTGGATCGCGCCACCAAAACAAGTGGAGAACTATTATCACGAGCTCCAAGCCGAACTTAAAAGTGATTTTGACGTGCTAGAGAGGATTTGGACGGAACGATCAATTTTTAGACGGAGAAGCTATGGCTCGCTACGAGTTCGACCGGTTGAGCAAGCCAATATTGACGAAGTTCCGGATTTTAACAGGGTCCAGCTGACGTACATCTCTCACAGAAACGAACGATTCTTTGGATTTGGCGAGCAGTTCTCTTGCTTAGATCTGAAAGGACGGAGAGTGCCGATCCTCGTTCAGGAGCAAGGCGTCGGAAGAGGTGACCAGCCTATTACCGCTGCAGCAAACATTCTATCTTACAGGTATGCTTCAAAAGTTTCAACTTGTTTCTGGAATTTCTCTTTCTAGATCTGGAGGAAGCTGGCACACAACTTATGCACCATCGCCATATTACATGACCTCGGATATGCGGTGTTTGTTCCTTGAAAACTACGAGTACTCCGTCTTTGATCTGCGTCGTCACGATCGAGTTCAAATACAAGTAAGTTCTGTTTTTGTCTCTCCTTTTCTGAATTTAAGATGAGAGTGATTTTCAGGTACATTCGGGAACGATGGAAGGCCGGATCTTACATGGACAGACACCCGCAGAGCTGCTTATGCGCTATACTGAAAGCATTGGAAGAATGCGAGAGCTTCCGGACTGGATTCATCAAGGGGCTGTCATTGGTATGCAAGGTGGAACGAACGCTGTGAAGAAAATACATGCTGAACTTAAGAAGCACGACATTCCTATAGCTGCCTTCTGGTTGCAAGTTCGTATTTCTTTTCTCCATTTTTTTTTTCACCTCCGACTTCTGTTAAAGATTTCGTTTTCTTTGTGCACAGGACTGGGTTGGCCAAAGGAAAACAAGCATAGGATGGCAACTTTGGTGGAACTGGGAAGCAGACACGGATCATTACCAAGGATGGGGGGAGCTTGTGCAAGAGCTCAAATCCCAGGGCATTCGAACAATGACGTACTGCAATCCTCTCCTCGCTTGTGTAAGTCTCTTTTCAGAGTTTCCTTTACGATGCCAATGTCTTACCTTGAATGTAAAGGTTGAGAGCAAGGAAGCGAAACGAAGAAATCTATTGCAAGAAGCTTTAGCTGAGAGTTTCTTGGTGCGTAAGCCTGGTGGAGGCGTCTACATGATTACGAACACGAGTTTTGACGCAGGGGTCATTGATCTTACAAATCCCAAAGCTCGTTGCTGGCTGAAAGAGATACTGAGAGACATGATCAGTACTGGAGTTTCGGGGTGGATGGCGGACTTTGGCGAAGCATTACCTTTCGACTCGGTCATTCACTCAGGTAGTTTTGTGGATGTTTTACTGGATGGTTCCTGACAAGCCTGTGTACAACAGACGAGAATCCAGCGCTCCTTCACAATCGATTTCCCGAGCTGTGGGCTCAGCTCAACAGGGAGGTCGTCGAAGAATGGGAGCAAGAGCACAAGTTACAAAACGGTGACATCGACAAACTTGTGTTTTTCATGCGAGCGGGGTTTATGAGAAGTCCGAAGTGGTCGACCCTGTTCTGGGAAGGAGATCAAATGGTCAGCTGGCAGAGGAACGATGGCATAAAAAGCGCTGTTGTTGGACTGCTGAGCAGTGGCATCTCCGGATACTCTCTGAATCACAGTGATATTGGCGGCTACACAACGGTGAATTTTCCATTTCTAAAGTACGTGCGAAGTGAGGAGCTTCTCATGCGCTGGATGGAGCTCAACGCCTTCTCTGTGATTTTCAGAACGCACGAGGTACGAGAAAGAGGTTCTTAGAAATGGTTTGCAAAACTTTCCTTTTCCAGGGAAACGATCCTGGAGCGAACTCTCAGTTTTACACGAATGCGCGAACTTTGCAACACTTTGCTAGGTGCGCAAGGATTTTCAAAGCGTGGAAGTTTTACCGCAAGGAACTTGTCAAGGTGCGTATAACTCCTTGCATAGATTCGCGCTTACGCTTGGAAGGAATGATTTTTTTTGCAATCTAGGAAGCGGCAAGTCGAGGTATGCCCGTCGTGAGGCACCTCTTCCTTCACTATCCACAGGACGAGTTCGTGCAAAGAATCACTTACGAGCAATTTCTAGTTGGCTCGGAGCTTCTCGTCGTTCCAGTGCTCAACAGAGGCAAACGAAAGGTCCGTGCTTATTTTCCAGCGGGAGACGTGTGGGTGCACGTCTGGACGAACAGGAACTACGGCTCTGCGGAGCAATCCTCGAGTGCCTGGATCGATGCACCGCTTGGACTTCCAGCCGTGTTCTTCAAAGCCGGATCGACAGTTGGATCAACCTTTATGTCCAACTTGGCCTCTCTCGAGGCCTCGTGACATTGGGAATATGCTTTACCGGTCGATTACACCGTGGCGTGGAAAGGAACTGTTTCAAACAGTTTTGGCTACAGGGAGATGGAGGAGCGGCTAGACGCGGCGGTGGCGCTCGAGGATGACGAAGAGAAACTTTGGGAGGAAGAAGAAAGAGAGGAAGACCCGGAGGATGATCCAGGACGAGCACTGGAAGCGGTGGAGGAATTGCTGCGCGAGAGAGAGGCGTTCATCCGGAAAGTGAGAGCGAACGAGATGAGCTTGGAGGACCTTTGCAAGCACGTCACGGAGGTTGGTTTCTAGTTTTCTCGGTTGCTCTCTTTAGTTTTTCTCACTAGATCTCGAATTGCTCAGGCAAAATCCAGGGCCGAGAAGGAGAGAGACGAGCTTACGTCTCAGATCGACAAGCTCAAGTTTAAGATGGCATCGCAGTCTGTGTTGATCGATCAGCTCAACGAACAGGTAGCGAAAGAAAACCGATCTTTTCTCTCTCGTTCTCTCGTTTTACTTTTTTTCTTGGAGTTTTATCGAATCAAAAACTGGAATTTCACAGGTTGGAACTGCGAGGAACAACGTAAAAAACCAGCGCGAGCAGCTGGAGATATATCTCCAAAAGGAGAGGCAAGAGGAGTTCCAAGAGAACGCTTTGGTGGACGGTGGCGATGGTCGCTAGAGAGAATCTTACGGTGGCCGGGGTTTCACGCTCGTATAGGTCGGGACGGCCTATATGAATGGACGTTGATAGGAAATGTAAAAATTTTGGTGCTCGTTTTAAATTCTTACGGCTTTGCCGCTCGCGGCGCTCATATTCTAGGGCTCTGCGTGATCGATCGCGATGCCTCTACGAAATCGGTAAATGCAGGTGTGCCGATCGATCCTCTTCCAGTTCTAGGCCGATCGCACCTGGGTTCTTGCGGTTCTGGGACGATCGTACTTAGAGGCGATGGAGCAAGGTGAATATTCTAGTGATCAGGAGGCGCCGGATGCGATTATCGGCAGAGGGATGAGCTCCTGCGAGTCGGCGCCAGGGAAATCGCAGCATATCGAGTGGATGGATCCGAAATCCATCAGGTTCTCACAGCGGCCGGTGTTTGAAAAGAGTGTGGCTTTGCTAAGGAAAGGCGCTGAGAAGGAAGGATCTTCGCAGAGCTTTGCGCAGGTCGCGGCGGAGGGCAGCCTGGAAGGGCTGCTGGCCAAGCTGAGAGATGGCTCGGTCGGGGTGGAAGAAGTTCCACCCATTCGCGTGTTCTACCACGAGAATGCGTGGTACACCTTGGACAACCGGAGGCTTTGGGTGTTTAGGGAGCTTGGGAAGCGCATCCCCGTGGAGGTTGTCGAGGCCTCCAAGGAGTTTCTCAAGAAGCTGGAGCCAAAGTTCGCTGGGAGAGAGGTTTCTTTCCGCAATCCAGGAATGGCCGCGGAGGAGCAAACTCTTTCACGCCAAGTTCTGGCATGGTCTTTGGACAACATAAACAACGAAAGCTTGCTCGTCAATCAGGTTGGTTTTCTTCTTTTTGCTCTTGGTGATTGGCTTCGAGTGACTGTCTTGCTCTCGCCAGGTTGACAAAATTCCCTTGGAGTTTCCGGATTTGAAAAACTATCTGAGCGTATTCCGACCTCTTCTACTTGAAGAGACCCGCGCCGCCTTGCAGCAAAGTCTTGAGATGATCAACGAGTTGCCTTGCGTTCTTGTCGAGATGGGCAAGGAAGTCCGTGGTCGGGATGGCGATGACAAGATCAGAAGGTTTAAGATGCAAATTTCGAAAGACATACTAAAGCCGAAGGATTTGGTTCTCCTGACAACAGCAGAGCCAGACTGCCTGACGATTCTGCGAGATAGTGGCGAGTTTTATACTCTTGCTCTTATTATCGCTGGCGACGACATGGACAGTGACGAGCTCAAAGTCGACGTATACGCTCCTATCTACAGTTCCGAGTACGACCCCTTCCTTGAAACCAATCGACCGTGGTATGCTGTCTACTTGAGCTCCCTCGCCACTGGAATGCGAGTTTGGGAGGCTCTGAAACGTCCTTCACTGGCTCTAGCAGGTCAATATCCTATATTTCAAGAAGTTCTCCAAGCAAACTCGGTAAGAAACTTCATGCTTCGTTTACATATCTAGTTAAGACGCGTTTTTGTTTTGCAGGGTGAACCGGAGATAGATGACGTCGAAGGTATGACAAGCTCCGAGATTAGTTGCGCAAGGTGGTTTAAGCTCAACGATTCTCAAATGGAAGCTGTCTCGAGGACTGTTATCGCTCTGAAGAGGGAACAGAAGCCTTATGTGAGACTGATCCAAGGACCGCCCGGAACAGGAAAGACATCGATGCTCATAGCTCTGATCTCTGTGCTTGCCGGCTCCAGCAAGCGGATACTTATGTCTGCTCCGACAAATGCCGCCATAACTGAGGTTGTGGTGAGGCTTTTTACGTCGATAACAAAGCAGCCCTCCTCTTTTATCGGGTGTACAAGGACCGTATGTCCTCGTGACGTCGTGTTGGTGGGCAACAAAGAAAATCTTCAAGTGGATGACAACGAGATCCTTGACGCTGTTTTCCTTCAGAGCAGAGAAGAACGATTAGCGACTGTCCTCGCTACTGCTTGCGGGTGGCAACAGAAAGTTCTTTCTGTCGTGGACTTTCTGGAGAATGCAGAAGAACGCTATAGGCAGTATAAGCAGGATAAGAAGCCCGACGAGCCTGCCGAGAGCTTCCTGGACTTCTCCAGGGAGAGAATGACGTTTCTTGGGGATCAGATGCTGAGTAGCATTGACTTAGTGTGCAACGACCTGCCGTCCACCTTTCTCAAGTCTACTGATATCCTTGGAGCCAGACACCACGTCACCGAGATCAATGCAGCCTTTGGACGATTTCGCGAAGACTCTGAAGTTCTGAACTACGTCAGTTCTACTTCAGGGGCCGCAGCAGCTCTTCTGAACCTGTTGAAGACAAACATGGATTTTGTGACGTACCCGCCTGGTAAAATTCCTACTGGTGAAGAACTTCTGCGGCACGCGTCTGTAGTCTGCTGCACGGTCTCCTCTGCAGGCATGAGAATTGTGCAGAATACCTCTCGACATTTTTATACAGCGGTTATCGATGAAGCGGGCCAGCTTGTGGAAGCAGAGACAGCAATTGTGATGGGTCTACAAAACGTGAAGCAGCTGGTATTAGTTGGGGATCACAAACAATTACCAGCGACTGTTATAAGCAAGGTAACTTTGTTTGGTCAATAGCCTCCTGGTTTCATCTGAAATTTCGCTTCTCGTGGTTTCCCAGATTGCTCAGGACTACAGCTATGGCAGAAGTCTTTTTGAGAGGCTGCAGCTCCTCGGACATCCTAGTATAATGCTCAACGTTCAGTACCGTATGCATCCTTCTATCAGTCAGTTTCCAAATTTCCAGTTCTATGAAGGTGCAATCTGCGACGGGCCAAATGTTGTGGATGACTTCTATGGCCAGTTATCACAATCGCAGCTCTTTGGTCCTTACACATTTTTAAACGTGCACGGTGTTGAAACGAAAGACGAAAAGCACAGCAAGAGCAATGCTGTGGAAGTACTTGTTGTGATGCACCTCCTCAAGATGCTTCACCAATCAGGTGCGGAGTCTTTTTATTCTCCTGAAACTGACTTTTGTTTCCAGGCGAAAAATTAGAAGTAGGCATAATATCTCCATACGCTGCTCAGGTGAAGGCCATCAACGATCGGCTTAAGTCCTGGGACCATGGAAGTTTAAGCATCAATTGTCGTTCTGTCGATGGATTTCAAGGACGCGAAAAAGATGTTATTATCTTGTCCACCGTTCGGTCAAATGTTGGTGGTTACCTGGGTTTTCTCGAAGATCATCGACGATTGAACGTTGCAATAACTCGCGCAAGGTAGCTTTCGACTTGCCTATCGAGCAGCTTACAGCTGAAAAGTTTTGTTGTAGGCACGTTCTTTGTATTGTCGGTAGCGCCAACACTTTGGAATCCAGTGACGGTGTTTGGAGACAGCTTCTCAACGATGCGCGGCATAGGAAATGTTATAGAGAAGCTTCACAGGATTCTACCGTAAAGAGAACTATTCAAAGAGCTATGGCGGAAATTCACCAGCTGGAGTCTCTCGTGGATCCCCGGTCAGATTTTTTTAGCAATAACGTTTGGAAGGTAAGACTCAAGCTGTTTAGAGTCCTGTAATGCTAACAAAGAGCTAGTTGCAGGTGTTTTTCAGCAAAGAGTTCAAAGTTAGTTTCACGTCCATCTCGTCGGGATCGACAAAGTTGCATGTGCTAAATGCCATTCTCAACCTTGCCAATGGACGTCGTCCGAGACACGCGTTTACGGCCCCCGTTCCCACGAAGCGAAACTACGTTCAGTTTCATCTTACGATGGAAATGTATCTAGTTTGGACGGTTGACTTGGACGCCGATTGCACAGTTCAAGTCCTAAAGTTCTGGGATTTTCTAAAGCTTGATGGCCTTCCTAGGATTGTCAGCCGTCTTGAGAACCTGTGTGCTACATACTCGGGTGCTTATTTAAGAAGATCGAGCGAACGCCTTACGGACGGGTACATATGTCCCAACTTCTCAATATTGAAGGGACTCACAGTATCTTTTTGTAGGAAGCTGGCCGTGCCTGCTAGATGGAGCTCTGGAGCTGAAATAGCTCGGCATAAGTCCTTCAAAGAGATTGCAAGCTCTGAGGCGAACGAGGAGACCACGACTGGCGAGAACTCAAGCGTGTCAGAAAGCTTACTGTTGATGAAGTTTTATTCTCTATCAACAGGTATTGCTAGACAGCTCTTAACAGCCACCGACGGTAGCCAAATCGATCCTCCATTCGAGGTAACAGATCAAGAATCTCAAGTTGTTAAGTTCCCCTGGAGTTCCTTCGTCGTCGGAAGGTCGGGGACAGGAAAGACAACAATTATAACCATGAAGCTGCTTAACCGAGAGCAACAGTTTCGTCTATCTCATGGGCTCGCTGAAGGTGAATCTCCGGCTCAAACTGTAGTACGTCAAGCTCTGATAACTGTCAGCTCAAAACTATGCGCGGCAATTAAGCTTCACCTTCAAAGGACACGCAGGTAAGAGTTCAGTGCCTTTTTGTTTGATTTAACTTTTGAAATCATAGATCTCTTCAGCGAAGCAACGCTGTCAACAAAGATGACATGTATGAGAGAAAAGGCTTACTGCTGGACGAGGAAGCAGAAGAAAAGTTGTTCAGCGACATACCTGACAGTTTCGTCGACATATCCCCGCAAGCATTTCCTCTCGTCATCACGTATCGAAAGTTTTTAACCATGCTCGATGGCAGCGTTCCGAGACCTTTTATCGCCAGGAGGGACATGGAGACAGCGCAAGGAACTTTTATTAGAGTTGAAGATTGCGACGACAGCGATCGCTTGGATACAAATGACGACATTGATATCTCTTATGAAACTCCGAAGACATCTCAACGGATTCAGCCCAGAAAAGAGGTGGATTTTGATTGCTTTGCCGCAAGCTATTGGCCGCATTTGAACTCTAGCTTCACCAAAAAGTTCGATGCCTCAGTCGTCTTCACCGAGATCATGTCATCGATTAAAGGAAGGCCTGAATCTCTACGAAGCCATAAAGGACGGCTATCTCGAAATGACTACGTTTATATGTCTTCTTATACTTTGGACCAGAGCCAACGAGAAAATATTTATGAGCTCTTTCTACAATACGAGAAGCTAAAGTCACAGCGACACGAGTATGATATATTGGACCACGTCAGATATCTATATCGACAGATCGAGGGTGGGGAACCTTTAGGACCGAAGCTTCAGTTTATATACGTCGACGAGGTCCAAGACCTCACTCTGGCTCAGATCAGTCTTCTCAAGTTCGTTTCTGACAACGTTGCAGAAGGATTTGTTTTTGCTGGAGACACGGCACAAACAATCGCTAAAGGCGTAAACTTTCGTTTCGAGGATATCAGGAGTTTGTTTTACAAGGAGTTTTTGGAAATTGACGACAGGAGGCAGATCACGAAAGATGGGAAGTTGCGGAAGCAGGCACTATGTAATATCCATCAGCTGACGCAGAATTTTAGAACTCACCAAGGGGTTGTCGAGCTCGCGGACAGCATTATGCAGTTGCTGTTGTTCTTCTTTCCGGAAACAGTTGACAAGTTGGAACCGGAGCGGAGTTTGATATGTGGCGAGAAGCCCGTTGTTGTGAAGTCCGATGAGAATTACAACCTCATCACCTGCCTATTTGATCACAGTGGAGGTTTTGGACAGGAGTCCGACTTTGGAGCCGAGCAGGTGATTCTAGTGCGAGATGGTGAATCCAAGCAGAAACTTTTAAAGCGACTAGGAACGCGAAGCTTGGTGCTTACTGTAGAAGAATGCAAAGGTCTCGAGTTCCAGGTAAGTCAATTGATAGAAGTTTAGCGGTTTAAATAACAGTCTCTTCAGGATGTTCTACTGTACAACTTTTTTGCGCTGTCGAACTTCGGCTCTAAGTGGAGAACTCTGTACACCTATCTCGACGAGACAAGTCTTGTGAACTGCTGCTGTCAGGGATATCCCAAGTTCGAGAAAAGGCTTCACAACATCCTGTGTAACGAACTGAAGCAGCTATATGTGGCTATTACAAGGTCCAAGCAGCGTCTTTGGATATATGACGAGGACTTTATTTTCCAGCAGCCCATGCTAGACTACTGGATTACGAAAGACTTGGTTCAGTCGAGAAGTCTGGACGAATCCCTCGTTTCTTCTTTCCATAGAATCAGCACCCGGGAAGAGTGGCTACAACGAGGACGCCAGGTTAGTTTCCAATGCTCCACAAGTCTCTTCATAAACTTACGTGTTCTTATCGACAGATGTTCAACGACCGCCAGTATGATATGGCTGTCTTGTGCTACCAACGAGCTCATGATTCGTATAGAGCTCAGTGGGCACAAGCTGCTCTGCACCAGCAAAATGGGGAGAAGAATCTCGTCTGGAATCCCACCATAGCGACTCAGCAGCTACAAGACGCAGTGAACCTTTATGAGAGAATTGCGAAGTTCGAAGCTGCGGCAAGATGTTTGACGGAGATCAAAAACTTTAAGCAAGCTGGTAATTAATTCATGTAATCGTGATACGTAGCGATTTTGAATCACTAACGTTTCTGTCATTTCCAGGTGTGTTGTACAGGGACAAGTGCAATCCGCCGCGCTGGGAAAATGCTGCCCAATGTTTTGAACAAGCAAAGATTTATGATGAAGCAGCAGAAGCATATTCCATGGTAGAAGATTTTCAGAGTTGCTTATCCGCATGCCTGGCTGGAAAGCTGTTTGAGAAGGGACTGAACTTTATCCGGGACCGAGAACAGCAAGATGCTTCATTCCTCAGCAATAAGTACGTGGTGAATCTCTTGAAGACCTCGGCGGAGCACTATCACAGAAAGAAGGACGTTGACAGGATGATGAAATTTGTTCACGCGTTTCCGGGCATTTCCATGAAGCGGGACTTTTTGAAGAGGCGTGACTATCTGGAGCAGCTTATGCAAGTGGAGTTCTTCTACATGAACTACGAAGAAGCTTCTCAGGTAGCCGAAGCGAAAGGAGATCTTATAGCCGCTGCAAAGTTCCTAGAACTAGCTGGACATCGAGCCGAAGGAGCTAGAAAAATCATCAAACACATGCAGCTGAAACTTCTATGGGCGAACAACAACCTGGGGTGGCCTTTGCGGCCTTTGGAAGATGAAAAGCTCGTCACTGAGGCTCACAGAATGGCAAAAGGGGATCCTCGAGCAGAAATCCAGCTTCGAGTCCTAAGAGATGACGACGACCTCTCGCTGTCAGATGTTTTCGAGAACTGGAAGCTGGCGAAAGACGACCCGACTATAAACATCATAGTGCTGCGTCAGCTCTTGGAGAAAGGTCTAGAGTTGGCTAAAGGTTCGACTTCGCTCGGGCTTCTTACTCTACAGGTTTTGGACAGGCCGTTGAGAACAGCTAGTGACATGACCAACACTCTGCAGTTTGTGGTCGCTGTTTGGAACACTTGGTTCCAGAAGATAAGCTCGCTGCTGAAGGCACTGGCAAAGATCGAGAAAATTATTCCGCAAGGCGACGCACTTCTGGATTCTTGCTTGGAATTTATGGGCGTTACTCGGCACCATCTTCCCGGGCTGTGCATAGTGGAGGACAGCATGGTTGACTGGCTGAAACGGGGTGGAGACTGGACCGTCGGCAGTGGAAAGGCACAGCTGAAAACGGAAAAGTTTCTGTCTCTAGCAACAGATTTTTGGCGGGGTCAGCTAGAGTCGACGAGCGCAATCTTCTGTGAAGTGCTGGAAAGCCACGCAGGCAATGCTGGTGGAGCCGAGAGCTGCCTGTCAGTGTTGAAGATTATGGACGTGGTCAGTAGCTTGGGGAAGTCCGAAACTCACGAAAGAAGACTCCGAAGTCTCAGGATGGAGGTTTTCCGGTGTTTATTCGTACGCCGAGGGAATACTCCCGTTAGCTTACGGGACCATCCCAAAGTTACTCCTCACCTGGGCGCGCTTGCCAGAGACATTACAGCAGCGAGTGATTCGGTCGAAGAAACAGTTATGCTACAGATTCTGGAGCCTTATTTGAGGAATGGTCCCGGGCAGGATTTTATTGCCAACGAGTACTGCTACCACTTTGCGATGCCGATGAGCCAGTGTGCTCAAGGGCTGCACGACATCTTTAGCATGGAAGGCTTCCAGCATTATATCACTCCGTCGATGTTCATCTACATGCTGGAGCGAATACTTGTTTCTAGCATTGCGTGCTTATCACACATCGTAGAGGCAACGCTCCCGGAAAGCCTGGCTATGGAGTTTATGACGGGGTCTACGCAGGAAATTCTGTACACGCGGATGTTGAGGATGGGCTGCTCCGTGGAGAAAGTTTGCAAGAGTGTTGGGACAAACTCTCTGGAAGTCATTCAGAAGATTTGCAGTTCTCTGCTACTCGGATACCGCCTGGACAAGTGGCTGCTCGATATCCCAAAGTCAGAGGTAGTCTTTCGGATTATTCGAGTGCTCTTAACCATTTTCATGGAGTTTGAGAACCAGGCAGTGAACAGCCACATATTCAGAGATCTGAGGAGCTTGGTGACCCGGCAGTCTTCTGCGCTGGACCATCTTCTTCCGAGCTTGAGGCAGGGGCTGCAGTGCCTCTTCGAGACAGGTGCAAACTACAATCACTTCCGGCTACTCTTCTGCCGGTTCATGGTTGAATGCGGCGATCAGTTTCTGCTTCTGAGGCGGAGAGACAAATTCAGGCATGGATTTAAGTCTCGGTTCCAGACTTATGTCAACGTGGAGCCGGAGCCGTGGAAGTTCAGCCTGGCGTCACTGCAGCAACCGGATGATATGATGCTGCAGACTGTGGATGCTGAGGAGGAGGAAGTTGATGACACAACGGAGCTGAAACCTTCCGAGGTCGAGCTGACATTCGAGTGTCCGGAGCCAGAGATGACGGCTCCCGCAAAAGAAGAAGCATTGTCTCCATGGTACCTGAAAGTTGGCGATTCGAAGCTCGGCTTTTTCGTGGTCTGGAGGCTGCTGAAAAAGCTGCAAGTTGCCAGAGAGAACTTGGTCCAGGATGACGAGTATGTCCGGGAAGCCAAAAACGCGTTTACCACTATGGCTTGTAAAGACGACGGCTACGTTTCGTCATTCATCTCCGAAGTGTGTCCTCTAAAGGTCTGCATACTTTCCTTTCTCTTTTTTCCTCCGGTTCTTTGTAACACTCTCCTGGCAGGCGGACTTGGTGAGTTTCGTGCTGGACATGGCTTCCGCCATTGAGATTCTGAAAGGCCGAACCTTTGCCGGTCAGGATGGGCAACTCAAGGCCGATCGAGACGACCTCGTGGAGAAGATGAACGACTTCAAGTGCGAATGCGAGGCTTTGTTGGAGCTTATGGATCCTAGGTGAGTGAAGTGTTTGCTTTGCTTGTATGGATGATCTATAACTTTACAAACTCTCAGGCATGCCGACCACCAGAAGCAGGACTCGGATTGGCTACTTCTATCTGTCACAAATCCAGCAACAGAGAAACTAGGTTATGGCAGATCCAAATTCAACCATTGCCTTAAAGACGTGCTCGGTGATGCTCTCCAGCGCAAAGAAACTATCTCCAGTGAGCCAGCAAAGCCTTGCTCGTCCGCTACTAAGCCCGCGCCTAAGAAATCAAACAAGAAGAAGAAAAAGTCCGGGAAGAAAGGAGGAAGAAAGAAGCAGTGACTTAATGTTGATATATACATATTTTGTGTCTATAGATAGTTTGATCGGAATTATACTTCCAACGAGTTTTATCAAACTGGCGCCACCTTGGGAATCACAAACAACTCATCAAAGAGAGAGAGAGAGAGAAAGAAGAAGAAAGAATGGCTACCTGGTCGGGAAATTCGAGAGGTCGTTGCTTCCTGGAGAATCGCTTGTTCCAGGTATCGACGACGACGCAGGCACAGGCATCACCCCAGATGTTAACGGACGTGCGAAACATCCCCAGCAGCCAGTCCACGGCAAAAAGGACCGAAACGTCACCAATAAACTGGGGAAGATTCACAGCCTGGAGAAGAAAAGATTGAGAAAAAAATCTTCGCATAGTCTTGCTTAAAGCTGGCTTGCCTGTAAAACAGTGATCATGGTCACCAGAGCGGAGCTGGGAATGGACGCGGAGCCAACAGCGGCGAGAGTGGCAGTGATGGCGATGACGAAGAGGCTGCTTACAGGTAGATGGATTCCATGAGCCTGGATGGAGGACGAAGAGAAAAAAGTGAGTGAGAGAGAGATGGAGGACGAAGAGAAAAGAGAGAGAGAGAGAGAGAGAGAGAGAGAGAGAGAGAGAGACCTGGCAGATAAAAATTGCTGAGACTGCCTCGTAGAGCGCGGCACCGTCGCGGTTAATGTTGGTTCCTAGAGGAATCACAAACTGGACGATGCTCTGGTCGCAGCCGTGTTCTCCGCCGCATTGCATTGTCACTGGCATTGTGGCGGCGCTGGAGGAAGTTCCCAGTCCCATGCACAGCGCTGGCAAAAATGATCTGGTAGATACGCAGCAAATCGCTTTATACCAGCTTGTGATCTTCAAGAGCTCAAAGAACCGGGCTGCTTACTTGAAAACTTTGAGGGGATTTTGCCTCGACAGGAGGAAGACTGTGAGTGGCAGCACCAGCGTGGAATGGATGAAGAATCCGCCCAGCACCGTCGCCATGTAAAAGCCGAGAGATTTGAGAAGATGGACGGCGTTGCATGCCTTGAGAATGGTGCCTGCGATGAGCGACGCAACTCCGACGGGCGTGAACATGACCACTACAAAGATCTGATCGGGAGAAGAAAAAAGCAATGTAAGATTGTGATCAATCGAAGACACAAGAAAGTTACGATTTTTATCAAGATGGTGTTGCAGAGCTCGATGAGATGAACTAGAGGCTCGGCTCGCTCACCTGGAGGTACACAAAGGAGAGAGTTACGAGCTTTTTTCCTTGACAGGTTTAGAGATTTTCTCACCGAATGTATTGGTGGCGAAAGCGAAGACAATGGCGAAAGTCATGACTCCCAAATAGTTTGGCTTCGCAGCGGCCGCGACGATGTTTGTAGGAAGCAAGTCGCGGCCAATCTCGAGCAGGGAATCCACAGTCCCAGCTGCTGCCTTTGGTGTGCTAGAAATAAAAAAAAACTTCAAGTAAGAACTGAAAACAGCATGAAAGTATCACTCTCACTCTGTGGGGGAAGTTCCATTGCGAGTGGCACACTTTGTGAAACCCGAGTCGTCGAATGGCTTGTCTCTCCCAGGCTTGATCACCGACACCATGACGATTCCCAAAACCACGGCAAGCATCATCGACAGTAGATAATACAGTAGAGACCACTTGGTGATACGGCCAACTCTACATTTTTGCCAAGAAAGAAATCGAGCTACATCACAGGAAAAATATCATACCCACTGGTTGTGTGTCTCAAGCTGAACACTCCAGACATCAATGCGAGCATAATCAATGGCAGAACCAGGGCCTGTAAAGCTCGGATGAAAAGCTCTCCAGGATACCCTTGAAAGCAAAAAGGAAAAGAGATCGAGCTTTTAGGACAAACGACGGGGAGATCTTTTCTCTTATGATACATACCCAGGAGCTCCACTGTTAGAGCAGAGGGATGCGAATTGTAAAGCCCAGCTCCCAGCGCGATTCCCACAAGCACTCCCAGCAGCGTCCACCACACCAGCATCTCCATCCGGAACGCCTTCTTCTTAAACCGCGAGAAGAGCCCCGCCATGGCGGCCAACAAACAAACAAAGAATGGCGCTCTCTTCCCAGAAGTTTGGAGATGTGTGGAGTTCGCTCCCTCCCTCGCAGAAGAGATTCTTGCTTGCCAATTGGCTGGCTGCCCTATGAGCTACTTAAGGAACTCCATACCCAGACTTCCGTAGACGCATTTGGCGGGCTCGGATTTGGACCCGAGGTGACTGCAAATCTTTTCTTCGTTTGTGGTTTTTTTCTCTCTTTGCTTTCTGCCACTTTGTTCGGTCCCCAGAGGAGCTCTGACCTCCAGGCCTACTAAGACAAGCACAGTGTTGCGAGCTCGACATGATACACAGCATCACGCAAACTTGATGGTTGAGTTCCTGAGGTTTGGAAATGCAATGTTGGCTTTTTGTATGGAAAAACAATTCACTGCCTTTTGTCAATGTCGATTTGTAATGCAAACCATGGGAGCATATCACCGACCATGCGTGGTAATTAGCACAGTGGTAATCCGTAGGCGCATATCTAGTTCTGATTTATATGACAGCATAGAAGCAATGAAAGCTCAAAAACTTTAAAGCTTAGAACACTGGTGAAAAGTGATCTCTACATTGACAAGAAACTTAAAATCTCTCGATACCTTGGGAAAGCTTATAACATGGTTTGGGGTTTGCCATCCAAAACTACTTTGGCAGCTATTTGACCATTTAGAGCTGTCTTGACTCTCGAACCTTCAAAAAAAAAGGGGAAAAGGGAAGAAAGATCCGTTACATTACTAGAGAAACTACATAGTGCTTTCCGTTAAGCAGGAATGGCTGTTAGCATACAAGAAAAAATGAGTCTATGCATGAGGCTTCCCTGGAGCATTTCCCAGAAATTTACCTCAGCTGAAAAGTTTAGCCCCCTTAAAAACGTTCCTTCCCACCAGGAACTAGGTCATTGGCTAGTGCAGTCAAGCATAAGCACACGAGGAAGCCTCCGTTCGAAGAATTTTGCATGGAAAAGCCTTCTCGCTACAGGATATTTTAAACTTATAAACAAAAGAATGCTATGGAGTAGGCTTGGTATTTGATCTTCTTTTGTGCTGGGCTGTGTGCTGTGTTGTGCTCTCTCTTCTGTCAAAACATATCAGCTGGCACAACAATCAGTCAAGGCAGCCTGGTACTTAAATCCCAAAACTTGTGCATCCTTCGTTCCTCCTCGAGAGAAGCTATGGAGCTTTTACTGCTGTCCTGGAATGCTCTTTACGTCCTCGCGTTTCTACTCTCTTTCTGGCTGATCTACCGTAAGTTCTACACCTCCCAAGGATCATCCACGATCAAACTCCCGGCGGGAAGCCATGGCTGGCCTCTTGTCGGAGAATCTGTCTCTCTCTTCCTGGGATCCCCTCTAGACTTCCTCACCACTCGACGCAAGAGGTTCTCCTAAGTTGACTTTCGCTCAGATCTTGATTTAATGAAGTTTGTGACCGATTTACAGATTTGGAGGAGTTTTCTCGAGTAACTTGCTTGGATCTCCCACCATTGTCACAACAACAGTAGAGGCAGCCAAGTTCTTCCTCAGCTGTGCTGAATGCGGTCCCTCAGGCTTGTTTGGCCGATTGTTTGGGCCGGAATCTATAAGCCAAGCCGTCGGGAGTGACCATGCGCTCTACCGGAGAATCATGTTGGGGATGATGGTTCCAGAGGTGCTCAAACACCATGTCGAGAAGATCGATAACTTGGCTCAGGAGATTCTAGAGTCGTGGGGATCGAAGAAGACGGTATCGGTTATGGAAGAAACTGTCAAGGTTTGATCACATCGCACGCCAGATTGATCGCTTGATCTGATTATAAACATTTGACATGCCAGTTTAGCTATTGTACGGTGATTGGATTCGTGTGCCAGAAACTGCTGCCCACCACTCCGGACACGATCGATCTCATGCGAGACGTCCAAGCCATAGAGACGGGGCTGCTCCAGTTTCCAATCGACATACCCTTCTCACCTTATCACAAAGCATTGCAGGTTTGTGTCTGATAAATATAACTTTCTAGTTCTGGATCTATTGTGATTCGATCAGGCCAGGGCAAGGCTCCACACATTCTTGGATGGGCTCATCAACGAGAGGAGGGCACAAGTAGCTGCCAAGGGCGAGACACACAAAGATGCATTGGGCGAGTTTGTTACGCACAAAGATGACAAGGTTGGAACCCTCTCCAATCAACAGGTGGAAGACAATCTCATGGCACTGTTGTTTGGAGGCCACCACACTACAGCTCTGGCTCTCCTGTGGCTGATCAAATACTTACATGAGAATCCACAAGCTTTCAAGGAAGTGGAGGTATTATTATTATTATTATTAAACTGTTGTTTTGAATTAATCTTGATTTCCAGGAAGAGCAAAAACAAGTCCTCCTTGAGAAAGGCTCCACAAAGTATAAGTTAACATGGGAAGACACAAAGCTGATGCCAGCCACTCTAAGGGTTGGACTGAGCTCCACTTATTTTTATATTAGATTTAATTGGAGTGTTTTTGCAGGCTGTCCACGAGACTCTAAGGCTTTCTAATGTTGTGGGGCTGGTGACACGTAAAATCACCAAGGACATCAGCTACAATGGTTTGATTACATGTGATTGAAGCTAATTCCAATCGTTCTCTTGGTGTTATACAGGTTATACCTTGCCCAAAGATTGGATGGTGCACGTCCATATGTCAGCAATCCACTTAGATGAGAGCATTTACCCCAATGCAACAAGATTTGATCCATCTAGATTTAAAGTATGGCATTTGTCATGTTTATACTTACCAAACCTTTTTATATCTTCCCTTCAGGTCCCAGCTAAAACTGGCACATTTATTCCATTTGGCTCTGGACAAAGAACATGCCCAGGAAGTGCACTAGCTAAGTTAGAGCTATGCATTTTCATACACAGGCTTATCACAAAATACAGGTACTTCCTTTTCCTCCATTTTCTTGCCATTTATACTCAAACATTATTGTAAAACACTGTAGATGGGAGCCAGTGAATCCAAATAGTAAAACAAGCTACTGGCCAATGCCCACAGTGAATGATGGATACCTCATACAAACTATGTCCATCCAGTAAAGAAACAAGGAGAAAATAAAAGCCCCTGGATTGCCTTTGCTGATATTTAGGGTTAGGTTTAGGGCTTGTTTTGCCCAGATCTGGCGTGATGGAGGACAAGAAGAACACGGACTGCGTTTACTTCCTCGCGTCGCCGCTCACATGCAAGAAGGTGAGAAATGTGGAATTCTCCCGCAAGATCGCATGCCGGGGCACGAACATTCACCAAAAAATGTGTTTTTCGTCTTTCTCTCCGCGCCACAGGGAATGCAATGCGAGTTTAGGCACAGCGAGGTCGCGAGATTAAATCCCCGCGACTGTTGGTACTGGCTCTCTGGGAACTGCCTCAATCCAGACTGCCCGTTTCGTCATCCCGTGAGTCTTCTTCCTTCTCCTCTTAGGATTTTTCATAGTCTTTCTTTGATAGAGAGTCTTTTTCTTTCTTTGAGGATAATGGTATTTGATTTCTCGCAGCCGCTGGACGTGTCCGAGGAGGAGAATCCCAGCTCCAATTCTCGAGTCCCCTGTTACTTCTACTCTCAAGGATACTGCGCAAAAGGAGACCAGTGTCCGTTCATGCACGGCTTTGCTCGTCGCTCCCAACAGGTCCAAACTTTGGCCCAGCAGCAGCAAACTCCATCCCAGCCTCAAGTTCCTGCTGCCTCTACCGTCACGCAAAACGGGGGCTCCAAGCTCTCGATCGGCCAGAGAAGCGGCCCGGGCGAGCCTCCACACCAAGTCCAGCTTGAAACTCCGGAAGAACACGAGCAGCAGCACCAGGTGGAGAGCAGCAGCTCGCCGACACAGGACGAAGAGCAGCAGGAGAAATCCGACAGTGGCGACGGAAAGTCCGAAGAACTCTACAGGCTGCACCACCACGAGTGGCCGATGGGAGGCAGCTCCCCCGACTTCGACGACGTAGATCCCGGAGCCCAGCAGGATTTTTACTCGGACGATGGAGATAACTACGACACCGTCCTCGATCCAGTAAATGGCTCCTCCTCGCAGCTGCTTGATCAAATCCAAAGCCAGCAACACCGTCTCCTCGACTCTGCTTCGTACGACTTTGGAGGCTGCCGCTACGAGCGAGGAGCTTTCCAAAACGGCCCCAGCGCTGGCACACGGAACAGCTTCAACGAGTACAAGCCTTACGATCCACCGTACCAGCCATCGCTCCCTTACGACTGCATGATCAGCTCGCGGCAGCCTCTCGTCCAGGAGCAGCGGATTGATCCCGACTTGGAAGCTCTTCTCATGGCCAGGAACTTGGAGGGACTAAACCGAGGGAGGCTCGAGGACCGGCTGGTGTTTCCGAGAGGGAACCACAGGAGCCTCTTTGCCGCAAACCGCTTAAAGCTTCTCAGCGACAACAGTAGTGCTCACAACAGGCTAGTTTACGACGAAACCAATCCTGCTCTTCACCATCGACTGGAAAGCTGGAGGGTGGCGAATGGTGGCAGTCGCAGCGTCCATAGCAGGCTCGGAAGGCCCAGCGTGAAGACCCGGCTCAAGTATGCTGCTAACCAGAGACTCCACCAGCACCAGTTTCACAACTTCCAGCACCACCACCAACAGCAGCAACAGCGTCACCACGCCCGGAACTCGAGATACTTGGGAGTGATGCAGCAGCAGCACTGGCGACACAACAAAGTCGCCAAGAAGCCCAAGCTCGCCGCCGCTGCCGGTGCTGCTCCCAGCAGCACCTCTGCCAGGAACAGCGTCACTTTGAGAGAATCTCAATTTGACGGGCCAAAGAGCCTGGCGGAGCTGAAAGCTGCGAAGGACGCTGCTGGAACTTGAGGACACGAAACGAAAAGCTTCTCTTTGGGACGCTCAGTCTGTCCTTAGAGCTTTGTGCCACAAGACGGTGGTGACTCCAATCAGCAAGCAACTCACCCCGAGCACCCAATCTCCCTCGTCTCCAGCACCGACCTCGAGCTCACTAGCAGCAGCAGCAGCAGCAGCAGTAGCTTCTCTTTCCTCTCGTCGAGGCTTGGCTTCTCCTTCGCTGCGGCGTCGATCACTTCGTCGAGTAGGATCGCCAGTGAAGCCACTGTATCCCGACGGGGTGTGCTTGACGTCCATGACGGATCCAAAGAACTCGGTCACGCGGACCTCGTCCAGCTTCCTCCGGAACAAGTCGTCCCTGAAGCTGGCGTTGGACATGAGCAGCCGGGGATCGTAGACCCGGAACAAGCTCTCGAGGGTGGCGGCGCTGTCGGTCCTCACGCCCTCGAGAAACTGGAGCGTGTAGTACGTGAAGCGATCGATCACCGAGACGCCAACGTCCATGTCGAGGTGGTGGGAGTAGGAGTTCTCCCCCTTCTTACTGCTGCTCGCGGCCAGCACTCCAGGCGAGTAGACTTGCGAGTAGAGCGTCGAGGCCTGGCAAGTGTCCACCATGAACAAGATCTCCCTGTATCGCCCCTTTTGATGCATCTGCTGGATGGCGTCGGCCAGGTCGTGGCTCTGGATCTCCTCCGCGTCCTGGAACTTGATGAACTGGTCGCCACCATGGCCGGTCATGTAGAGCAAGACGTTGCTGGACTCGTCGCTGAGGAGGCGCTTGGATCGCGGGACTGCCGGATCGTGGCGGCCGGTGAGGACGCGCAGGAAATTGTCCACGGTGACCTCGTAGCCGCGGTAATCCACCTCCACATTCTCGCCGTAGAGGTTGAGCTTGTGATCCTCGTTGTTGAAGACCTGGGCCGGGCGGGAATTCCTGGCGTTGCACGCCATGTCGTCGGCGAGCATGAGGAGGATGTGATCGTCCGGGATGCCCAGGCGCTTGACGGTGTGGTAGATCGAGAGGGTGTTGGCCATATGCCTGTAGTTGAACCAGTAGCGCGAGGTACATACCAGCACCGCCCAATTGCTCGTGTGCGCCGGCGCTGCCATGGCGCTCGGCGCGATCGACGAAATCAGCAGTAGCAGTGGCAGTAGCAGCAGCAGTGGCGCCATGGCGCTCCTTTCCCCCCCGCAAGAACCCTAAAAATGTGCCGTGCGATCCTAGCCGTAAGATTTTCGCGGTAAAATTGCTATTAAATACCACCATGGATTGCAAAGAACTTGTTATGATCAAAGTTGCGACTATGGTACAAACATTCCAGCGAGAGCTTTTCTTCCACCACGATCATCCTCCCGGACGAAAAAAAAGAGGTTCTTCGTGGTGGCTCCTAAACTCCCAGGTACTGGAAAATGGACGGAGCGAGCTCAGCGACTGACCATCCAAGAGCAGCGTATTGCAAAAGCCGGATGCCCGTGTCCACGTCCAAGTGATCTTCATCGATCACAGGCAGCAGTCTTAGCCACAAATTTCTCGTCTCTTCGTCGCGGGGAGAGCTCTTCTTGTCGCTGTTCTTCGCCTTTTCTTGCAGCGGCGGGACGTAGGAAGAGGAATAGATGGGGACGAAGAAGGCTCGGCATACCCACGGAAGTAGCTGCTTTGCGAGTTCCTTGGACAGCTCCTTGACAGCTAGAACGGTTGGAAATCCAATCGCGAGTCTGAGGATTAAGTTGAGCGTGTCCTGGAGTGTTGAGATTGAGAGGGCTGTCGTTTGGCCATACGAGTAGAATCTGTGTGATCCATATACCTGAGAATGATCGATGAGAATCGAGGATAGAACAGAAGGAGAGCTTACCACTCCCAGTACGACGCCGTTGAAAGCAGTGTGAAACTCAAAGCTTGGTGTCTTGTATTCTGGCCTTGGATACGCGAAGAGAACGAGAAATGACATGCTTGTCCAGAACGGAAGAACTGCAAAAAGAGTGTCTTTTGTTCGTCGTATCATGTAACTGGATTTTGGCAGCATACCGTTTTCACCCTCCGTGACAAATTGGTCGATATGATCGTCAACGCAGCACCAAAACATCAATAGGCACAAGCCAATGGGAATCCCCGCATAGACATCGATGGGCGTGTGCATGCCCAAGTAAAGTCTCCCTGGAAAAAGCAAGGAACACGTTACACCACGCTGAGCAAAGACAACTTGGCCGTTCTTACCGTAAGCAACAAGAACAATCACGAGGCAGATGATTCCCAACACAAGCCACCACACGCGAGAATCGCTTGGAAACTGCTGGTGGTTCATGAAGTAATTAAAGAGATACCTGGAGAAAGACAAACAAAGAACAAAGTAAGACAATGGAATGGATCACCTCAGCACGCGAATACCGAAGCTTACAGTGATAAACAGATTGTGTTGATAGTGTGAGAAGAGGGGAGTCCAAACTCCATGGCGGACTCCTCCTCGCATTTAATGGCAGTGAGACGCCTGACCGGAGGAGATGCTGGCCGGGGGGCCGAGACAACGTCCTTGACACAATTCCCAACGTAGATGCAAACAGCCATAAGGATCGTCATTTGCCTCGCAAGCCTCGTCTGGCCACACTGGAAGAATGAAGAACAAAGAACAAAGAAAGAAAAAATTCAAACCCGGAGGCTACTACTTAGAACAAACGCGAAACTATTTACCCAGAAGAGAAGCGGGAGAAACGCAGTGTAGAACTCCACCGATACCACCGAGGATGCGACGGCGAACACGACATCCCAGAATGGATTCTTGGAACGCTGCAAGAAATCTTCGCGGATCAATCGATCTAGCTCCAGATTCGTGACGAAGAAGCGTACCTGGATGTGAAGGATCGTCTCAGTCCCCTTGAGAACCCGCTGCGTCACCAGCGGCTGGAGAATGGATCGAGCGCGCAGGGTGAGATTGGTGAAGCTGGAGAATCGCAGCCAAGAGAGGATCGTGACGAGCGTAATCACTTGCCAGACGGGGACGCCGACAGCCTCCATGAATCAGAGATTTCCCCACAGCTCCAAGGAGAGAGACGAGCTCGCATTCTCCCGAAGCGTCCAGCGCTCTTTCCCAGAATCGCCCGGCTCAAGAACCCTAAGTCAAGAACGCGTGGCCAAGGGATATTCCTGGGATCAATCAGAGCCCTAGAAAAGGCAAATTTGCGCTTCGATTCTTTGGCGATGGCGACCGAGACGGTGTGTGCGATCACCAGCGTGGAGTTGTGGCAGGCCAAGTTCAAGGAGGCGGAAGAGGGCAAGAAGCTGGTGAGCGGCGCCATTGCTAGGGTTTAATCGTTTGATCGATCGATTTCTCCTCTTTCCTTTTGCAGTTAGTGGTGGATTTCACTGCGACGTGGTGCGGCCCTTGCAAGGCCATAGCTCCGATCTTCCTGGAGTACTCCAAGACGTTCACGGATGCGATCTTCGTCAAGGTGGATGTGGATCAAATGCCTGTGAGTTTAAAAATTACTTTTTTTGTGTGTTCTTGACTCGATCCTTGCTCTTTCCAGGCGATCACTACCGAGTGGAAGGTCGAGGCGATGCCTACTTTCCTCTTGATCAAGGAAGGCAAAGTGGTGGAGAAGATCGTTGGAGCGGACAAGGACCAGTTGAAAAAGAAGCTCCAGCTCCACACTGGAGCTGGAGTGCACGCCTAGGCTAGTCAAGAAAAGAATGGGACGATTTCCATACTACTAAGAAGTAAGCATTCGTGCTTTTAAGTTTATAGAAGAAGAAAACCTTTGTCGTTGAATTGGTTTGTATCTCATAGCTTGGCTGATAAAGGAGAGCTCTGGTCCTATTCGATAGCTATAGCGATGGTGTTTCCAAAAACTTTAGCTCTTCACCAAGCAATCCATGAAGCCTTGCTTGAGCTCGGCTTCGTTGAGGTTCTTCCCAATGAACACGAGCTTGTTCTGGCGTTTCTCGTTGGGACCCCATTCTCTGTCCATTGTTCCCTCGTATACCGCGTGAACACCCTGAGTAAAAGAGAAAACTTTCAGATCTTGCAAACACTTCTAGCATAGTCACCTGGAAAACAAATCGCTCCTTGCAATCCTCGATGGACAGGATGCCTTTCATTCGATACAAGTCTTCGCTCCGTTCATCGAGCAGGTCCCCGAGCCATGTGTCGATCTGTGCAATAGAATGAGTAAAAGGAAGACGAGGAGAACAGCTTACTTTCTCCAAATCCAAGTTCCCCTCACACATGATGCTCACGGACGACACTCCAGGGTCGTGGTGATGGTCGTGCTTGTGCTCGTGTTTGTGCTCGTGCTTGTGCTCGTGTTCGTGCCCGTGTTTGTGGTCATGGCCTTTAGTTTGTCGGGTGTAAGACACACTAAAAGAATATAAATTCTTACCGTGTTGGTCATCGTGAGCATGAGCATTGGCTTTCTCTTTCTCTTTCTCGATCTCAACCTCCAGGCCCGCTACTCTGAAGTACAAAACAATCAATTAGCTTAGACGGGTTCCTCCAATGAAGCAAAGGAAAACCAGAATGCGTACTTCTCCAGGTCAAAACCACCGACACCGAGAACGTAATCCATGTCGACTTTGCCATACTGCGTTGACTTAACACTCGCCATTGCATTGATACGCTGCAAAAGAAGATTTTGAAAAGCTAGAGACATGATCTTCATACCTTTATTCTCTCGGATAGAGTTTGAATGGCCTTGTCGTCAACTAAGTCCACCTACAAAGAAAGCAAAAAAGAAAGAGAAAGGCCGGTTGGCAAAGATATCGCGTCGTGAAAATGCGAACCTTGTTGAGTATGATACGGTCGGCATAGGCTACTTGCTCCACGGCTTCATTCACCGCGCCATCTGGCTTCACTTCGTCAAGATGCATAGGAGCGTGCTTGGCGTCCACCATCGTGACAACGCCGTCGAGTCGATAATGGTGCGCTACTCTGTCTTCCGCGTAAAATGTCTGAATGATCGGAGCAGGATTAGCCAGGCCTGGAACGATGACAAAGATGAAGAAGCTCTCGAATCAAACTTGACAAATCCAAGAGCCAGTACCCGTAGTCTCGATCAGGACGTGATCATACAAGCCTTTCTTTGTGAGGAAAAGGTCCTTGAGCATGTTGACGAGGTCCCCTCGCACCGTGCAGCAAAGACAGCCATTGTTGAGCATCATGATATCTTCCGTGGAAGATTTTCGGCCAACAACGAGGCTGTCATCGATGCCAACTTCTCCAAACTATGAAATCACAAAAGTAAAATGAGCGATAAGAAGAAAAAAGAAAGAGAGAAACAAGTACCTCGTTCTCAATGACAGCGATCCTTTTCCCATGCTCGCCAGTGAGCACGTAGTTTAGCAGCGTAGTCTGCCATCAAGACATGATAAGTTCATGGTTGAAAAACTTACAAAGAAAACTTTGCATGAAGAAGAAGAGAAGATTTTACCTTGCCAGCGCCAAGAAATCCAGTGATCACAGTGATAGGAACCCGATTATCGACGCATACATGGCTCTCGGGAATCTCAGTTGGAGCAGTCTCCTGCTGGGTGGTCGCATTTGCCAGAGTTCTAACGCTCAGCTTCCTCGTCGCAGACATTCTCCCCTGAGCGCCTATTCCTTTCGCTACCCTTGGAGCTAATCTCCCATAGAACCTCAATCCACCGCCACTGGCCTTGTTGAAAACCATGACCACCGACGACGCGCTTGCGCGCGTCCCATGCGCCCACGCCAATCCTCTTCCACACAATGCCATAGCCGCGCTTGCTGCCGCCATCGCTCGCGCGCTTCGATTGCTCTTCTTTCCTTGCTAAACCTGCGCCGCTAACCTGGAATTCTGGCGGTCAAAAAGAGTTCTTTCCCTCGATCGCTTCCACGAATGCGATCGCGCAGAGCTCCAATGCCGCGGCGAGAGAGGGAGAGAGGGAGGGACTGGACCTTTCCTTCTAGAGCCCTCTTTCCGGATTACCCACCAGATAAACGATGGACGGCCAGGGATTCGCGATCGGACGGCCGCTAAGAAATATCTATCTCCTAGAACCCTAAACCCTACCCTCCTACGTAGAAAATTTTGCCTCAAAAAAGAAGCAAACGTAAATTTATGGATTTGTGTTCTTCAAGTTTTGATGTTCTTCAACACGGCCAATTCAATCTTCTTGAGCGTGGATTGAGCTGCAACACATTCCAATCGATCCAGAGTGAAAAACCCTTCTCAAACACGAAGCTACAAACTAAAATGTCTGATGCAAAACCTGGAGATCTAGGGCAGTATCATATAGAGAGGAGAAAAGAACTGTAGAAAAAGGAAAAAAGAGAGAGAGTGTGTGGATTCCAAGCAAAGGTAAATACCTGAAGAATCCAGCCGCCGCGATGATCAAGGCTTCTTTTTTACAGTCTTCTCCTCGCTGGGAGCAACGCTTTGATAGTATGCAAACGTGATCACGCCCGTGACGAGCAAAACTCCAGCAAGAAACGCCGGATACCTCCCCGATTTCTTCAACGTAACCCCGCCCTCCTGGTGTAGAACTTGCCTGGATTCGTGAGCAAACATCTCCCGGTGCGCCGCATCTTTCGCTGCCCCGTCCACATCCTTGCCGCCGCCGCCAGCCATGGATTTGGAGATCGGATCGCTCGCGCTAGGGATTCCCCAGGGGAAGAGCACGAGAAAGAGCCCTAAATTTTTTCTACCCCAAATTCTGTGCCCGGGCCTGTTCTTTCTTTCTCGTGGTGTGCTGTCACCTTGCCAACGGCCTATGCTGCCACGTCGACACACATTTATTAATGCACAGTAAAGGGGTCGCGGGATCGAATCCTGGGAGAGGGCCTTGACATGAAAGACTAGAAAGTTTTTGACTTCTCGCGAAAGATTATAGGGTTCTTATTGGATTTGTTGCTCCTAGGTCAGCTGGATCGATTTCCCGGTTCCTCGAGCTGGATGACGCATCACAATGGATAATGCGATAGCGCAGGTACGAGAAGGGATAGCGCTGCAGCGAATTCGGCTCGTAGAGTAGAAGAAATTAGGGAATGGCGTGGGCCGTGAGGAAATCAGGGGTTCGTAGCTTGAATAAGATCTATGCGAATTGGGACAATGCGAGAGGATTTCAACCGCTTGGTGAGTTGAGGAACAGATTAGAGAATGGAAGCTCGAGGAACTACTACAGGACGAACTCCTCGAATCAACTCGTGGTCCAGCCATCGTACAATGGGAAAAGAGCGTTTCTTGTGGACACACTCCAATTGGTATCGTATAGTTTTGTGTGTTGTGTTTTTGGATTGGATGGCTATCTAAGCTGTCCATTTAAAACAGGTAAGGCGGCTTGAGAAGCAGGGTCTAACCGATAATCAAGCTGAAGCTATCACCGCTGTGATTACCGAAGTGCTCAATGATAGCTTGGAGAATGTTGCTCAGTCCTTCGTTTCCAAGCCAGAGATGCAGCGTGTAAGTGATTGCTTGACGTCTTCGTCACTCACCCGTGCTTTTCTTGTTAGAAAGAGTTGATGCAAGAGGCAGTCCTTTCGAAGCTGAGAGCAGAGATCGTCAGCCAGCTCGTGAGCTATTTCATTTTCTCGATTTTTTTCAAGTGTCACTTCTGGCTATTCATCGCAGGAGCATCATGTGTCTACCTCACAGCGGGAATCAGAACGACTACGGACAGATCTTGACAAGCTGAAAAGCGAGTTGAAGTAAGTCGTAAGTAAAGTCCTGAGTTCCTCCTCAACCATTGTTTTCCGCTTGTAGATACGAGATCGACAAGGTTACAGCAGGCCAGCGCCTTGATCTCAACCTTGAAAAGGGGTAGGCAAACTCTGCGATTTTGGTTTACTAGAACTTTGTCACTCTCTCTCCAGGCGCATCAGGGATGTCCTGGCGAATCAAAGCACCGAGACAGCGAATCTGACAAACAAGCTGGATAGTGTAAGCAATCATTTTCACTCAAAAGAATTCTCTGAACGCACCATCTACAGGAGATCCACACTCTCAAGACCCAGCTGGAAGTTGCCAAGTATGATGTGATCAAGTACTGCATTGGTAAATCTCTTACGCTTCTAAATCACACCGATAAGATCTCTAAAAGAAAATCTCTTGCGCTGTGACAGGTTCCATCGTCTCCGTAACCGCGGTTGGCCTTGGTCTACTACGTATCATGATGTGAAGAAAAGAAAACGTCCAAGAGTTCGTGAATAACAAAAAACTAAAAAAAAAATCAAAGAGAAACGAAGAACATAGAAGATGGTGATCACGTCGCATTCTTTTTTAATCTTTGAAGCGAAACAATAGTGGAAGGATCGCTCACTGCCCAAGGTTGGAGCTTGCATTGTATTCAAGCCATTTGGACATGGCACAGAAGGAAGGATCCTATTAAGCGTAGTTTGGTGGAAAGAGGGAGGACGCCATTAAAAAATTCCTTGTTGTCCGTTGGATGAATTAAATAAAGAAAGATGAGAAAGATGGTAGCTTTGACGAGTGAAAAAGATGACAAAAACGCAAAAGCGAGGAACTTCACGATCCCCAACGTCTTTCTACCGCGGCCCCGTGATTTTACTGGACTTTTTGACCCGGGTCACCGTGGTAAAAACGCTCGCACGGTTCGAAACCGCGCGTGAAAACGGAGCGCCGGACCGGAAAGCCAAACGCGGCCATTGAGGTGTCGCCAGCTGGCAGCACGGTGACGTGGAGAATATGACGTGCTGACGGCCGCTTTGACGGGCGGCAAGGACACTATGAAAAGGACAAGCTAGAGCGCAGTGTAAGGCATTGTTTTACCTATAGAGTGCATTGGAAGGTTCAG